CCTCAGAAGTTACTTAGCAGTTGTTTACCTTTGCCAGCCTTTTCTCTGCACATATATCCATATGTATTTATGAAATAAGTCACATTTTCTTCTTCTTTGCATCTTTCATACATATTGTACAACGTGTAATTATCAATGCTTAGCTTTCGCTAGTCTGAGTGAAAAAGTATTACATTGGTATTTTAATTTGCATTTTCTTGATTATGGGGCATTGAAGTTTCCACGTTTAACAGTCACTTATATTTCTACTGTGTTGCTTATTTATTCCCCTTGTCCAATTTTCTGGCTTTTTTTTTTTTTTTTTTTGAGATGGAGTCTTGCTGTGTCACCCAGGCCTGAGTGCAGTGGCGCGATCTCACTGCAACCTCTGCCTCCCGGGTTCAAGCAATTCTCCTGCCTCAGTCTTCCAAGTAGCTGGGACGACAGGTGCATGCCACCACGCACGGCTAGTTTTATTTTTTATATTTTTAGTAGAGATGGGATTTCACCATGTTAGCCAAGGATGGTCTCAAGCTCCTGACCCCGACCCACCTCAGCCTCCCGAAGTGCTGGGATTACAGGCGTGAGCCACCGCGCCTGGCCACATTTTTGTGGTTTGTAGTGCTTTATAGATTCTATATACAGTCATTCTTCAGTATCCATGGGGGATTGGTTTCAGGACTTTCTGCTGATAACCAAAATCCACAGATGCCCTAATACAAAATGGTGTATTTGCATATAACCTGTACACATCCTCCCATATACTTTAAATCATCTCTAGATTACTTATAATACCTAAATACAATGTGAATGCTATGTAAATGGTTATCATACTGTATTCTTGAGGGAATAAATGACAAAGTCTGTACGTGTTCAGTACAGATAGAATTTTTTTCCTTATTTTCAATCCGCAATTGGTTGAGTCCACAGATGTGGAAACCACAGGATACAGAAGGCTGATTGTACTTATTTATATATGATATATTCTATTGTTTTTCACAACTTTTTTCCAAATACTAATTATTGCCCCAGCTCCCATACCCCCACTATTTTGAGAAAGTCTGTGTCATCCAGGTGGAGTGCAGTGGCTCGATCTTTGCTCACTGTACCCTCTGCTGTCTGGGCTCAAGTGATCTTCCCACCTCAGCCTCTCGAGTAGCTGGGACTACAGGTGCTCAACCACGTTGGTTAATTTTTTTATTTTTTTTGTAGAGACAAGGTTTCGCCACATTGCTCAGGCTGGTCTCAAATTCCTGGGCTCAGGCGATCTGCCGCCTCAGCCTCCTAAAGTGCTGGGATTACAATTGTGAGCCCCTGTGCCCGGCAGGTCCCAGCTCATTTTTTATTTCATGTTTTTCCTAGTTATTTGAAACAGTTTTTATCACACATTAAATTTGTACTTCTGCATAGTCATTACTTTGCTTAATCTAGTCTGATCATTGATTTATGATCTCACTTTTAATTACCATAGCTTTTGTAATATCTCACTTTTAATTACCATAGCTTTTGTAGTATGCTTTGAAGATAACTGGGACAAGGTCTTCCAACATTGTTCTTTTTTATATTCTCTATTTTTTCACACTTCTTCCTAGGTCAGTGTTAGACTTGACAAATTCCATGAAAAATTTTATTGGGGTTTTAATTAGAATTGCGTTTAATTTAAAGATTGATTTTAAAAGTATCATTTTCCCTACCCATAACTCTTCATCTTTTTCCATTTATCCAGGCCTATGTTTTTCAGTATATACATGATATTGCATATAGCCTTGCTAGTTTATTTTACATTTTATAGTATCTGTGGCTGGTATTAGATTTCTTATTGATAGTTGCATAATTATAGGAAGAAGAGGAAAGGCTATGAAGATGATGATTACGTCTCAAAGAAATCCAAACATGAGGAGGTATGTTTTACTCCAAAGATGAAGTCTAAGTCATTTTTGTTACACATTCTGGTGTGATTATACTATTAAGATTTGTTCTCCAAGAGTATAAGCATTATAGAGTTGTGGGTTTTTTCATTTTTTGCATACTTCCTTACGTACAGTACTGTTGTCCATTATTAAAGGGATTTTTCTCTCTTCTGTCTTTGCTTGATGAAAAATCCTTCTTGTGTTCATAGAAAGCAGAAGCAATATGCATACATACTACATTTTTGCTTTATTTCTTATTTTCCAAGGATTTTTCCCTTACCCCCTTTTAAAAACAAATTTTCTGTCAAGTCAGGTAAGTGAATAATCAGAGGCAGAAGGTCACAGTTGTAACCTTTATTCCTCATTGGAGTAGTCTGGTGAGACCATGCCAACATTACTAACAGTGAACTATTACAAAATTTCCTGGTTTATCTTTTGTAATCCACATGGGTAAAAGGAGGAGAACATTTTCCTAAAGGGAGGTAAGAGGTAAACAATACTGGTTATGCTTCAGTGTTATCCTTACCACACTTTTTTTCCTTCTTAGGAAGAATGGACTGACGACGACCTGGTAGAATCTCTCTAACCATTTGAAGTTGATTTCTCAATGCTAACTAATCAAGAGAAGTAGGAAGCATATCAAGCGTTTAACTTTATTTAAAAAGTGTAATGTGAAAACAAAATATATTAAAACTTTTCTATTACTTTCTTTCCCTTTCACAGTAACTTTATGTAAAATAAACCATCTTCAAAAGAGCTAGAATAGCACCTGTTTTGAATATTCTTATTCCATCATGACTAATATCAAATTAAAGCTGCAACTTACTTGCCTAATTTTTTAAGCAAAATATGATAGGCAAACCTATGCTTTTTTAAGAAAAAGGCACCACAAAAACCAAAACTTAGTAGCTAGCTTTAAAAGTGTTAAGGAATGTGTTTTGCCCTCTAGAAACCTTTATAAATGGCTTTTTGAATGCCATCCTGATACATTTAGCTATTTGTCCATTACTATCAAACTGCAGAAGGTATTTCAACTATTACATGGTACTGAAAGCCAGTTGTCTGGGTAATGAATATTATTTGTTTTCTTTACTTACCCAAAAACATTTCCAAATGGGTTTTTTTTAAAAAAACAAATACATGATTTTGAATAGCTGTCTACATCAAACTCTTAGGCTAGTATAGATAAGTAGGCAGAAGCCACTTGTATATTCGGTTATGGTTTTTTAATTTTGTTTCGATGTAGGGTCTTGCTGTGTTGCCCAGGCTGTCTCAAACTCCTAGGTGCTAGTGATCCTCTGCCTCAGTTTCCTAATTGGGACTACAGGCATACGTCACCACAGCCTTTAATTAACCTATTAGATCACCTATAAGTGAATCCGTGTAAGTAGATTATAATAGTTACTAGGAATTGTACAGACCAAATATGTTCGAAAAATGTAATTCAAATTGAAATGAGTCAATTTAAAAATATAAAAGCACAGACTATTACAACAAATTACTTAGATATGAATCATGGCTGCCTCTGTTTCACTGTGTGACCTTGGTAAGTTATTAAATCTCTAAGTGCCAGTTTCCCACACTGAAAATGGGGAAAAAAATAATGCCCACTCTTTATAGGATTAATTAGAACAGTACCTGCATACACTTAAGTATTCAGTAATTGCTAACTCTTATAATTGGAACCGAACTGTGGCTGGCTGTATATCAAGCCAGAATTCTTTTCAGGAAAACTGGCTTGAAGGAATTCCGAGTAATTCAAGTGTCCTAAATCTAATTAAATTGCACAGATACACACACCTCCTCAGTCTCAGTACATCCCAGGCTGTACTTTCCAGAAAGGTAAGTACCATTATAATTACATCTGCTTTAAGGCAATGCTTACTATGTGCATATTCATCTCTCTAACAATTCTTCAAACTGTAGGCTTGAGTTTTGTGGGGTGTGTTTTTGTTTTGTTTTGTTTTGTTTTTTCCCTCATTCTGGAGTGAAAGGAATAAAATTCATGACGTGAGATTTTACAAAAGCAGAGTGGAAGAAGCCAAAAGTTATAAATCCTCCATCGTGGTCCTAGTTAAGTACATTGCTTCTAGGCTCTAGACAGAATTACAAGATGTTCACAGTTTTTCTCATTTTCCCTTTCAGATCGCCAAACTTTGGCATCAGAGCAAGGTCCACACTTATCACTGAAAATTTTCCCACCCAGCCCCATTAAAAAAGTTAAAGGGTGAGAGATTTTATTTCAACACTGACAAGCTAGTTACTACAGGGCCTACAAAGGTAAGTAACAAGTTTCCATTTCAACTTGAGAGACAAATGATGTTAAAATATAAGAAGCAGGATGAGTCAGGTTTGTGATTTTAAATAAAAGGGAGAAGGATTTCAGACTGAGGAATGACAGGTTAGTATGGCTAAAGATTGAGGCGTGATTAGTGGGAACCAAAGTGCATAGCAAAATATCTTGACTAGTCCATATCCTCCCTGTCTTCTATCATGTAACTAAGGAAGGAGACCACCTGGGTTGTTCCAAGTCCAGCTATAAAACAGAAGGGATGGAAAGGAGAGTAATTTGATAAAAAAGCCAGGTAGGGAGAGAATGGAATGAATTGAGTTGATTTCAAGGAAAAGGAGCACGGGACATGTTGAGATTTTTGGTATCAATGTTAAACTGTGATTGAAGCCACAGAGGTTAGCAGCTCCCATAGAAATAATTGCCTTTTGTAGCTTGAAACTGTTAAGCAGACATCTTTTAAACCTTTAGCATTTTTTTTTTCCTGTATTTTATACATTAGAGGAATAGCATAAAGTGTTGCTCTTGGAATCTAGGCCTTTCCTTACTGTAAGAACACCTCCTTGGGTTCCTGTCTCACCCACTTTTATTACCAATGTCATTCTGCCACATATGTTCCATATGTCATACCTGCCCTGCACAATTATGAGATGGAAGGAATTGTTGCATATATAGAATCCTTTTCAAAAGAGGCCATTAGCAAAAATACTGATCTAAAGCTTCAGCTTCTCCCTGGGCCTTGCTCTGGTGCTAAGGTTTAAACTGCCCCTGAAGGAGGAAGAAAATAAATTAAATGCTTAGCTCTATTTAGACAGAAGTAATCAATTATGCAAGATATCCCTTGGTTTTATTTTAACTTAACCTTTGTGAATACTTCACAAAAATACACATACAGAAGTAAATAAAACTATACAGTTGAACTAAATGTCCAGCAGATACAACAAGTAGTCAGAAGTTCAAAGATGGATAAGTTAGGCAGCTGATGAGGTTTGTCTGCATAATCAAAGGGGTAGGGTAGCACAAATAATGAACAAATAACTTTTAACATTCTAGTTAACATAAAAGAAACTGGTAGTCTATGAAATGAAGGGGTAACATGCATTGATCAATACAACAACCAATAATATTTACTGAATTCAAACTATTTACTGTTGTAAACATTTAACAAAGCATTATGAGATCTAAATACAGTCTTTGACAATTTCAACAAAATAAGTAGTATGTTTAAAAAATAAAGCTGATGAGCAATAGATCATTCTATATATTTTCTTTCAACAGTTCCAGCAAGAGAAATAGCACAGTATTTTTTAAAAGTATACAGCAAAGATTGTTCCTATTATAATGACAAACTCTGGAAACTGTAAATACAAATAATCATTGAACAGTCAAATGGTCATATTCCTAATCAGGAAGTAGTTACAGTAAGAACAGTCTGCAATCCAGTTATACACAATTGTCAATAAGAGAATGTGTCAGTTGATTTCATAGTTCTTTCTCTAAGAGACAGCAAAACTTTGGCAACTGGGTGTACTGAAAATATATTTTCAAAGTTCAAGATACAGTCATAGCATTTTGTTTTGTGAAAGGTGATCTGTACACCAAGGCTCAGAGGTTGTTAAAGATTGATTCCATGTGGAAATAGTGCAAATATCCTGCACAGATAGCTTACAAGGTTGCTGGCATAGTTATGCACTAGCAGAATCTTGGATTTTGTTTGCATAGCTCACACATCATTGGAATGTGGAAAAGTGTGCTATTTTTTGGCAAGAGCAAAGGAGATATTATACTGAAGTGAATTACCATGTTGGGCATGATGAATCCATGCAGAACACTGGGGCGAAGGCTGCTACCTGACATCATTGGTTTTTGTATACTGGTTTTGTTTTTGTTGAAGCAGTTCTGTTATAGCCAGAAGCTTTTTCAGTACGTGCTAGACAGAGGAAAAATGGTATGAAAATAAATGAAAGCTCGGTCAGCAATTTCAGGATGGGAACCTGGATTTGAAAAAAGCCATATCAAAGCAAAGGGATGCATAAAATATTAGCACAATTCCACTCAAAACATAAGTTTCTATTATTCAGTCATTGGCTGAGTATTTCTGGTCATAACTAAGAGAATTTTTATATATGGTGAACAGAAATTTGTGTTTGGCATGCTCCTGTTTTTTAGGCCAGAACTATCACTATCACATTTTGCCAGAAGCAGTTTACCTCTCTTTAAAGGTCTTTTAATTTAATATTTAAGGCAAGTCATATTATTAGTTTTGAAAGCTGGGGGGTGGGGGGCTGGGAGGAACAGGACTTGAGGATTCTAGAATCTCAGATTGTAGAGAACTCAGTCACCAAATTCAATGCTTTAATCCCTTCTACAAAATCCCTGCCAAATGGTTAGCCAGTGCGGTGACAGCATTCACTATCTCCTGAAACTACATTAGAAACTAGTCAAAACTGTCCCTGTGGTCACTTCTTCTCAGTGGCCCTTATGTCAGCTGAGGACATTGAAAATGTAACCCATTTTGTTTTGTATCTCCAGTATCTTAATTGACCTGGTGTTAAGTCTCTTTGAATACATCCTAATCTGTATCTGTTTGGTGCAGATGGCAGATAGAAGTCTATCAATGTAGTCTACTGTTTCTCAAAAGTGTAGGCCATGGTTCACTTGCATCAGAATCCCTATAAATTCCTGTAAGAGTTTGCTAGATATGCAGCTTTCAAGGCCACACTTCAGAATCTCTGGATGTGAATTTGACAAACATCCCAAATAATAATCATTTGTTTCACAATTTGAGAATCACTTTGGCCATGCACTGTATCTGTATGTGACAGAGAAGAGACAGAAACTGAAAGAAAAAAAAAATCAATACTGACTTACTAGCCATTTTCACATACGTCGCCAAAGTATGTTAACAGTTACACTGCTTTCCAGTAGAATTAAGATGCAGACTCAAGAGCAAAACCTGATGTTTTTCAGTATTAAATGTACATCATTTTAGTCTGGGCCCGTTATTTCTGTCTGCTGAGATCTTTTGTTAATATGATGCAGAGTCTCAAAAATTTAATGTAACAAGAAAAAATGTTAACCAGAATTCAGTTATTTATTACCTCTCAAAGTGTTATCCTTGAAACATCATTGTTAATGAAGGCTGGCGAAAGCCTACCTGCTGTGCACCACGCTCATTACTGAGCGTTCGAAGTTCATCTGAATGAGCCACACAAATCTCATGCAGTGCTGCCAAATCACGGGACAGGTCCGTTCTAGAATGTTCTGTAGTGTCCGGAAGTTCAGGTACGTTCTTTAAGGGAATTGTAAAATTGCATTTAGAAATACAAATCTTTTTTTTTTTTTTTTAATTTTTTGAGACAGAGTTTCGCTCTTGTTGCCCAGGCTGGAGTGTGATGGCATGATCTCGGCTCACTGCAACCTCCGCCTCCCGGGTTCAAGCGATTCTCCTGCCTCAGCCTCCCAAATAGCTAGGATTACAGGTGCCTGCCACCATGCCCGGCTAATTTTTTGTTAGAAATACAAATCTTTATAGTCTCATGTGAAAATATTCTAATTGAGTATATTAGATAATTTTTTTAAATTCTCAAATTTCTTAAAATTCTGAAGATTCTTACTGAAATATAAAATTCAGCATTAATGATGGTAAAATATAGACTCTGTAACCTTTGTATTCACATGAAAGCCAGAGTCTATTTTTTCCCATAGCATGACAGATGTGGTACAATATTATTGTTATTCTAAAAATAAGGGTCAGGGGATGTGGCTTCCTAACAATTAGCTTTATATCTGAAATATAGAGCATATGCCAAATAGTGTAGGTTAACTGCTAATCTGGATTAAATGCAGCCTATACTTAAAATTCCTAGATGAAATTTCATTATTAAGCTCCTGTAGTTTGCCTAAGTTGATATGCATATAAGTAGGAACTGCACTATGAAAATGCAGTGAGAACATGTCAAATTAGACATTATCTGTGGACTGTATTCAGAATATGTGCTAATGTGTGGGAATAATCAGTGTTAATTATGGTACTTTCAGATAAGGTTCATAAAGTAACTTAGTCACTATAATTAAAGTTTATAGTATAGGTTGAATATCACCCAAAATGCTTGGGACTAGAAGTGTTTCAGATTTTGGAATATATGCAGTATACTTGCCAGTTGAGCATCTCAAATCCAAAAATCCAGAATTGGAAATTTTCCAAATAGCATTTCCTGTTGGTACCCAACAAGTTTTGGATTTTTTTAGCATTTCAGATTAGGGATACTCAACCTGTACTTTATTATCAACACTAAATGGCAGTGTTCTTTTAAGCCTTGGAATAACATTTAACAAAGGCTTGGATTACCAGTAAAATGGTGACAGTATTTGCTTTACACTGCTAAAAACTGCAAAACAATGTTTTCTATGGGGTAGAGAAACACGGTTATACAGGATATATTCATTCAGTGATTAAAGGATTATAGCAATGAAAGACACTATATTTGCCTTCAGAGAACTGACTCTAGTAGAAAGGATTTTAGAAAAAGTAATCATAGCAACACAGAGTTTATATATCACAGATATGCAGGGGATGCTTAGGAGGTAAAACAAAAGTTACTTTATTCACGTTTGGGGCTCAGCAAAAGCTTCCTGAAGGAGATAATAATTGAAGTGGGTCTTCAAAAATAAATTTGGCTTATACAGATGGTATACAGATGGTAAAGAAATATAATAGTATTATATTTGGATTCTAAGCAGTATGAAATCCTAGATTGTGTGGCATAATTTCTCACACAGTTCCTTAAACATAGTAAAAATGTTTTCCAATGATCAACTATATCCCAGTTCACATACAGAAGCATGATGGACTTTTAGCTTGTCAATTTCACTATATAGAGCTATGCCATAATTTTTCATACACTAAACTAGTGACTCATAGGCATTCCTGATTTGTTTGCCACAAATTGTGGTGGTCTTTTTAACTGAACCTGAATATATTAAGACAGAACATGGACACCTCAATCTCCAATCCTAGCACTCCCTAATGCCATGCCTTATACCTGGCTCTATTCACATGTACATGTACCTTGCTGGTTTCCCTATATATGAACTGAATTATTAAGTTTAGTTGAAAACTGACTCAGTACCTGAAAATCTGTACAATCATGAAAATTTAACTCTTAAAGGCAGGGTCCTAGAAATTATAAAATACCCTCATTCATAATTTTGTAATCAATCACATTTTATTAACAAGGCCCAAATGAGGCATAGATATTCACACTGAATGAAGTGTAACACCAAATCCATGTCTTTTATTCCTAGAAAAGAAGACTTTTCAGTCTATTATTTAACCTGGTCAGAACTGTGTCATCGTCTTGCTTCAAGCCCCACATAGTAGCAGCAAAGTAAAAAAGCTAAGGAGGCAACAAAATGTCATGGCAGTCAGATGTGATAGCTTTAAAAGGATATGAAAAACAAGACGGACCCTAAAAAATGATGGAAGTAGTCTAAAAGCCACAATAATGTATGCTTTGGTTTAAGAATAAATAGTTTTAATTACAAACAAAAATGCTGTTTTTTGTTTAGGAAGGCAGACAAAAATTTGCAGGCTTTTTGTCTTTTTAGTTTTGGATAGAAAAATCTTTCTAAAGATTGCTGCTTAAATGGGTTAACTCAGCTATGCCAACTCTAAGTCTTTAAAAAGTACCTAAAAACTATATACATACCCCAAGTTCATCTAAAAACATGATCATACGATGTTTGTTGCTTTTGATGAATGGATTGACACCTTCCATGTAGGGCTCCTGAAAAATAGAATGCTTATATTATATGCAGCGGAAACAAACCACTGTTTGACCTATTAGGTTGGTGCAAAAGTAATTACAGTTAACAGCAAAACCTGCAGTTACTTTCGCACCAAATTAATATAGCAAAACCCATACATGTAGCAATACTTCTTATAAATCAGGTGTAGCAGCAGCAACACATTCACAAGAATTAATTAAATCATATAATGACAGTATTTTCCTTCTAGTATATAAGCAAATGGCTATACTGAGGAGTATGGGCATTTTTAATGAAAGAAAATTCTGAACCCAAGCACAAATCATAACACGCAGACTGGCAGATACAAATTGCTTATATATAAAATCACTCAAACATGGCCCCAAATCATAGGTTCGAATCCAGCAGAGATTACAGGGAATTAAAATACAATATAATGAAGACTGCAATAGGAAAACATCTTATTTGTAACCTGCTTCAAGATTCAGATGAATTCAAAACCTAGGCCATACATGTTTACTGCTCATCATACTAAAATCCTGACTACTTAAAACTATGCTATAAATAGGGAAAAGGTTAAGATTAACACACTCGTAAAAATCAATAAGAAAATGAGACAAGGACCTCAACAGGCAATTCCAAAGATAGAGACAATGAAAGTCTCTCTAACAGTAATAAAACAATGAAATACAAAATATTCTGCCTATCAAATTGGCAGAAAAGAAAAAAGTATAGTACCCACTGAGTTTTGGCAAGGCTGTGAGGAGCAACAAAAGAATTTTAAGTTGCTGACAGGAAATCTTGTAATACATAGCAAAGCCTAAAACATGTATTAGTAATTTTACTCCTAAGTTCAGCTAATAATTGAACAAGTATGAAAGGAAATGTATGTAAGGATATATGTTACAACAATAACAGGGACAAATTGGAAGCCATCTAAATATCCATTATTAAGAATAATGAAAGAGTTATCTATTTCCACATATGGCAGGAAGTCTGTCACGTATTAGGTGACAAAAGCAGGAGGCATGATATGATACCAACTTAATATTAGTCGTTATCCTTAGATAGTACAGTTACATGTAGGTGTCAAAAAAAAAACAAAAAACGAGTTAATATTTACAGTGAAGGTTTACTGTGAAATAAAATTAGTGAATTTTTGTATTAAAATGTACTCATTTATTATTTTTATGTTAAAAGTGGGAGAATTTGAGTACACTGGACCTTGAAAAATTTGTTTTCTATAATGGCTAAAGTGGTGTTTTTTAAAATTCCACTATTAAAATGTAAAATTTAAACAAGATGCTTTAAACACAAACATACCAACAAAATAATCTTTCATTGCTAAAAACTTCACTTAAGCCAAATTTTATCGTTTTATCATGTCAAACTTGCAGTCATAAATTACATTTTAAAGTATCAAAATGTTTTTACCTTAGCTCCAAATTCCACAAGATTTGCTAAGTTCTGCACAGATTTAGCCACTAATATTAGTGTTCTTGCAGCAATAGGAGATGGGGAATCTGGAAGAGAATTGGGCACAGCTAATGACACCAACTCCAACAGCATTTTCAGTTAAACCATTATAAATTTAGCACTTTAACATTTCTTTACTGTTACACTACTACCCATTCTTCCATTCAGAACTCAGAATGTTTTCTGAAAAATGTTTTTTGAAAAATTTGTGATCTGTATAATTCAAAAGAACTTGAGTTAAAAGAGGAAAACTGAATATGCTTATCAGTGCTTCTAGGCTTGTGAAAAGGGTACTACAAAACGCAGCAATTTCCAATGGTTGATACTATTTCAGAGGACCTCAAAGCTTTACCTTTACCACTAAAAAAGACTGTCACTCTCACATGTTTTGTGACAGTTCACAAAGCTAGTTTCAGCCTACTCAGGTTAGCAATCTGAGCAATTCCCTGCTCCCAACATTATCTGCAATCCAAATAATTCACTTAAAGCGCAAGAAGCAAAATAAAATCTAGGACCTCTGCTTTATTTTGAGGAGAAAAACATGAAATTTAATAAACTTTTAAAATATTTTAAAGGTAAATCAGGAGGCATTTCCCTGTAGAACACAGATAAGTAGGATGTAAATGACAAGTATTGGTGTCTATTAAATATAAGTTCTGGAACTTAATTATTTAACAGTAAAATCCCATAGATAATCTACCTGACTGCCTAGTTTTAGATAGTGGTGTCTGAGGCAAACATTCAGATAAATTTCTCCAAAAGAATTTCAAACCCTTAATCTTAATGGATTTGTAGATTTAACCACTTTAGTAGCAATAAAAGATAATTACAGAGACGCAAAACATTTTTAATACAATTTTGAGCTTCAGATTATTAAGGTAAAAATTCTGGTTCCTACTGTTTATAATGGTTCATTATTACATTCAAAGTCACAAATATCCCTGTTATGCTTTCTTTGAAAGAAGTGTGTAACACCTGAAAGTCATCTCAAAATGGGTATATGGGTTTACTGAAGTTTAAAATGGCCAATTTACACTATATAACTGGTGACTTTAAAAATCTCTAATGGGAGGAACCAGGACTGCTTTCTTCATGCGTACGCACAGAATACTATTCTAACTGTAGATACCATTTAATTTGATCTTGAAGATCCAGCTGGCAGCAGTCTAGCAATGGGCTAAGCAAAGCTCTTCCCAACTTGAAAAAGCCAAGTTGCAGACTACAAGAAGTTATTTATTATAAAGGTTTTAGACACAATAGGGTCAGAAAAAAAGGTGGAATGTGTGTAATCATGCCATCTCAGATTAGATATGAGATGGAAGAAAAGAAACAAAAAGAAAAAAGCCGAAGAAGCACAAGGAAGGAAGGGTGCTTTGGAATACTTTATATATGCCAGGGCTAGAATTAGATAATCAAAAAAAAAAAAAAAAACTAGATTTACTTTATTTTAAGAGTATTCTTACCTAACAGTGTGAAACTGTTAATTGTAATTTTTTGAATTTTGAAATTTATCAAAAGCTGATTACCTGAGATGATATTGAACATCCGTGGATTCAGGATGGCAGGACAGATGAGTCGAAGAAAAACAAAACCACTGAATGGGAGGGAAATTTTTTTTTTTTTTTTTTAGAAAACACATACATAATGTGTTACATTAAAACAATACATATAAAACAGAATTTTTAGTACTCATAGAACCATAAACTTCACTCTAAACCAATAAAAGGAAGCCCAGACACAGAAAACTTTTAAGAAAACAGTAAGCCAAAGCATCATATTTTAAGAATATATATATATATATCTGCTTCCTGAATGTATTACTCACTTTTCCCAATTTAGAATTTGGATTAACTTTGGGAAAATGTTGTTCATCCGTAGTATTTACTGTCTTGCTTACTATTTATTATTCCAGGCCTAGTGGTCATATGATACTTAAAGTAGTATCCTCAGGAACCCTAAGAATTTCTGAAATACCACAGGAGTATAAAAACTTTTTATATTATATAAGCATAATTCTGTACAATTTCAGAATTTCACACATCCTCATTTCTTAATTTATTTAAACAAAACAGCCTTAAGTTGGCTGCATTGATTTTGTTGATGATTCATATAAAAATAATAATCCATTGCACTAGAGAAAAGGTGACTTATTGATAAATGAAAATGTCTATAATAGAACACTGAAAAGGTTTTTTTTTTTTCTTTCTTTTTCTTTGAGATAGGGTTTTGTTCTGTCACCGAGGCTTGAGTACAGTGGCCCGCAATCACAGCTCACTGCAACCTTGAACTGCTGGGATCAAACAATTCTCTTGCCTCAGGCTCAGAGTAGTTAAGACTACAGGTGCGTATCACCATACCTGGCTAATTTTTTTTTTTTAATTATTTTTGTAGAGAACAGAGTCTCAACACGGTGCCCAGGACAATTTCAAATTCCTGGTCTCAAGCAATCCTCCTGTCTTGGTCTAAACGTGTTGAGATTACAGGCTTGAGCCACCATGCCCAGCCTGGAAAACTTTTAAGGCAAGACATCAGGAATTCTAAAGTTTTAAAAAGTTGTCAAATTACAAAACAATAGCAAAAGCAAAAATTATACTAACAGCTGTCATACATGATTTTATCTGCTGATTTTATTTTGGGACAATGTCAGTGTGAAAATGAAGCTTGCATAGATACTCTTATTATGCCTCCTTTAGTCACTGGTCGGGAGGATATGTTGTCATGTAGATAATTTCTCTCTAATTTCCTTTTAAGAAGAATCCACACTAATAACCTCTTACTTGTCCCATGTAAAGACAAGCATTATTCCTAAAATAATGAATTATGCAATTCCTTCTACAGATTGATAGACATAATCTATGTAAAGACAAGCATTATTCCCAAAATAATGAGTTACGCAATTCCTTCTAGACATTAATAGGCACAATCTCTGTTCTCTAATTAGAGTGGGTTACCCAATTTCTCAGCATTTACCTTTGAACATGTATCTGTTTGCTAATTTTTGGACTCTTAGAAAGTAGTTACTTCTCAAACAGCATTTATAGGAATTGTAATATATTGGCTGGGCATGGTGGCTCATGCCTGTAATCCAACACTTTGGGAGGCCAAGGTGGGTATATTACCTGAGGCCAGGAGTTCAAGACTAGCCTGGCCAACATGGTCTAACCCCATCTCTACTAAAAATACAAAAATAGCCAGGTGTGGTGCTGCATGCCTGTAATCCTAGCTACTTGGGTGGGTGAAGCATGAAAATCACTTGAACCTGGGAGGCGGGGGTCACAGAAAGCTGAAATCACACCACTGTACTCCAGCCTGGGCAACAGAGCGATACCCTGTCTCAAAAAAATAACAATTAAGCCTTTAATTTTGGACTTCTCAAATTTAAAGAATATTGTGTAAACTTTACTTGAAAATATTGTCATAATTATACACAGTAGGTCTATGAGCCTGAAACATAACCTTGGCAAAAATGCCCTAAAACACCCTCTTGCATCAGTTTACAATTTCCTGCTGTGTTTGCTTAACAATTATACTTGTTTGAAACTTACAAATTTATAGAACAGTTTTAATTTACATCTCACACATAACTCTGCTAGAATATAATTCTTTTCTATTCCTCCCAATCACCATTAATGCCAACAAAAACTGAATCTGTAGTACTTAAATATTATGTCATATCATAACCAAGAGAAATTTTATCTGCCCCCCAAAAAAAGAAATAGAAGACCCTTGACAAAATTTAGGTTGGAGGCAGGATTAACACACATTTTCAAAACAAACTGTAATAATGGTGTTAATGGTTGTCTAATTATTTTAAATATAGCATGGCATGACTATGTATATTCTAAATAACAAATTATATTATTAGAAAACTGCTGTATTCCATGATGCTTTTGCATTAAATTTCCATTTGCCTGGAATTAGTTGGGGTATTGGTTGGAGTATGCTTAACAAAAGCAAAAGCCTACAAATAAGACTTAAGGATATCAGATTGGATCTTAGAAAGTTACCTTTAGTTGTGCCTTAGCCACCAGCTTTCTATATAACCTTAGTTCAACAACTTAACCTCTCCAGACAGATCTGCTTCTTCATTGGAAAGTAAGTTAGAATAATGATAATTAAGTAACCTTATATAAGCTCCCAAATTCCATGGTTTGCCAAAACAGTTCTTCCTATAGAATAATGATAATGAAGTCCCTTTATATAAGCTCCCAAATTCCATGGTTTGCCAAAACAGTTCTTCCTATAGAATAATGATAATGAAGTCCCTTTATATAAGCTCCCAAATTCCATGGTTTGCCAAAACAGTTCTTCCTATAGAATAATGACAATGAAGTCCCTTTATATAAGCTCCCAAATTCCATGGTTTGCCAAAACAGTTCTTCCTAATTATGGTAGAATGAGCAGACCGAAACACAGCTTCAGCACCACATGTTCTGGTTCCAGATTAGCTCAGAGTCACAGATTGTAATAAACCAATTAATATCTAAATCAGTCAGTTACTGCTCTTCTCTTTTAGTGCCAATCAATGTGTGTGTGTATGTATGAAGAATATTATATGAAGTTAGCTACAGATTTTGGTTGTATAACTTTTAACCTCATCCTGTAAGGGTTTAAAAATCCCTAATACTTGACTATAAATGAATGTTCATGTTTTTAGAAAATGCAAACGGTAGCTAAATCTCATAGTAACTTTAAGTTTAGGAGCCATTTGGACTTAGAAAATATGCAACAGGGCTTTGACATAAAAGTCAAAGAAAAACGTTGAATTGTATATTGTTGTTCTTCAATTTTTCACAATTATCCATCTTTCAGTTTGTGATTTAACAAATGAATTGATGAGCCTTACCTAACAACTCTTGTTCTCATGGTGGTATTTGTAGGCCACTTATGCTGAACAGATTTCTGTAAACACCCATAAATATATCTCAGTGTCCTGCCAAAATAACACAATCATCTCAACACAGAAAGCAAGTGAAACTACTGATCTCCTAGCAGCCGAAAGCTTAATTTACCCAAATATACCACAGTTTAATAAAACTGGCCTTCTCCCCAAAAAAAGTATTTTGCCACAGGTAATGAGACATTTAGAAGGAGTAAGGAAAATTTTATCGACTAAGTTTATCATCATCAATTTATTCAGTCAACTTCCTGACATTTACTTTCGGATACAGAGAACTAACCAGCTGCAAACTCTGGGGAGAAAGATTTAGACTTAGGTTAACTTCTACCTAAACAAGTGAGTTCACTAATACTGGAGGCCTAAAAGCATATTAACAGAGTGATTAATCTATCAAGTATAGACTAAATGGATAGACAAGATATCTTTTACAATCTCAAATCTGAAACTATAAACTTCTATTCACTCCCCAAGCTACTATACAAACCAGACATATTGGCTTGTACAAAAACAATGGGTGGTTTTATTAAGACAGTTATTTTCTTTAAATATAATTCATCTTATAAAGATTAACCATGACTTTTTCAGAGTATAATAATATTAGGACAACAGAAAAGCTTTCACGTGTTTTAGAAATAGAAACTTCTCAAGACATAGATACACAATTTCTTGTCAAATGAAAATTTCACCACTTACGGTGGAAGTATTTCTGAAGCCATGAATATTTTCTCCACAAGCTCTGAAAGTATGTTCAATAGGTGTGCTAAATTAGTGTTCACATCTTCATTTTTTTCTAACTTTGATGGACTTAACTAAAAGAAGGAATAAATCAATAGAAATGCATTGTTGGCAATGACAAATGCAAATGAATTGAGGAAAACAAGTAGTTGTAGTTTTCAAGGTTCTCTATTTTTCAGTATCTCTGTGTGTACTGATCTTTTTTCTTTGTATAAATGGGAGTTTTTAAGTAGTTTGCTCTATGGAACTCCTTCTGGTAGGTTTCTTACCATTTATTCCCAATTACCCAACTGAAAAGCAAACAGTGGTTAGTCAATTCTATTTATTTGAGGGTAAAAAAAGCTGATGAAAAGCCCTTTCTGAATGAGGCTTATTTAATGGCTAATAAAAATATCAAATGTCTTAGGCAGAATCACAAACCTTTCTCAGAACTTCTCCTGTAACCCTTCTGATCTAGTGTCAGCAGAGTACATTTATCTATAGAAGTCCGAATTCCCCAGCCTATCTCTAAAGTCCAGAGACTCCCTACCTACCTGCTGCACTTCTGTGTCATCCTTACGCTGGGCCAACTATGGCATTACTCCAGATTTCCAAAATTAAATCACTAATTTCTTCCCTTCAGGTTATTAGTACGAATTGACACCTTCGTGCAGGATTAACATTTGCTAGGTCCCACTGTCCACTGTCGAAAACAATTCCTTAAACTGATTTTTGTATCAGATCTAAAATATATATTTCTTTGTAGCTGCTTTACCATTAAAATGAGAGAATATATGTGTGAGATTCCACTTACTGTCTTAATAGTTTATTATGAATTTATACTGAAGGTTTAATAATCCTAAAAAGATGTTTTTGTTTTAGTCAAGGTTATCTCATAATTCTCCTCTTGCAAAAAAACCTTCAAGGACAAACCTAGATGTAATGAAGTGCTACACAGGTCATATGATAAGTCACTAACAAAACCTTCAGTGTATGTTATGCATGCTTTCTATAAGTAGTATATAGATTACTAGTGCAGTAGAGGAAATGATAAAAGTATTTTCATGAATTTCTGGTGCAACTTGATGGTTTTTAATCCCAAAATAAAGTACATCTTTTTTAAAAAGTCCATTTTGCAGAACATTTTTATAAATGTATTAGAGACAGGTATAACTGCTATGAGGAATAATTTTAGAAATTTAATATTTTCCTTAAAATGTAATTGGCTACAAATTATTACCTACTAAAACATTAAATTCTTACCTCACAAGACTGCTTGCTTTCCATTATCTTTAAAATAGAGTCTTTCAAAGCATGATGAACAAACTGTGTAGCAGTGGCTTTCATATACTGCTCCATCAAGGTGCTTGCAAGTGTTGTGGCTCGAAATAGGGTAGTGGCTTCATCTACACAAATATTTACATTAGAAGATTATTTGTAAAGGACTGACCTAATGTGACCAAATTGGAAGTTAAGTGAATTCATTTTACCTCAAAAGGAATAACCACTTAAACGTACTTTTTGCATGCAGCATTGAAGTACTAATTACAGTGACATCCTATGCTTCTACAGACTTAACTCTGTAAGACTTTCATATGTATTACCTAATTAGATCATAAACAGGAGAAGGGATTAACACTGCCATGTTCATATGGAAAAATGAAGTCTCAGAATTGTTATATGTAAGATCAGTTAGACAGCTAGTGACAAAATTAGGACCACAAATCAGCTTTCCTGCCCATTGACCCCATGCTTTGAAACTTTGGGGTTTATTTACAATTAAGGATATAACACTAAATCCCAGTTTAGATTAATTTATTAGCTTAAAACGTGTCTACTGAGTTTCAGTAAAATTTTAATGAAATACAAATGCTACAGAAAAGATAAACTCAGTGTAAAATAAGGACCACCATTTTATCTATTCCTTGACAAATCTATATTTTGTGATGACAAGGAAATAGTTCTAAACTTTACTATTTATTTGGGGAACCTAGAAGCAAGAACTATTACTGAATCAAAGTGCTGGGTGGCGGGGGGGGGCGTTGGGGGGGGCCGGTGGATTATTTTGTAAGCCATAAAAGCACTGTGAGTCCAGCAGCTTGGGAACTCTACCTATCTATAAAAGTTAGAAATAAAATGCAACTGACACCCGGCTTCTGTGAAATGAATAAATAAACAAGACCTGTAATCCTGGCACTTTGGGAGGCCGAGGCAGGCGGATCACCTGAGGTCAGGATTTCAAGACCAGCCTGGCCAACATGGTGAAACCCCGTCTCTACTAAAAAATAAAATAAAAATTAGCCGGGTATGGTGGCATGTGCCCGTAGTCCCAGCTACTCGGGAGGCTGAGGCAGGAGAATCGCTTGAACCCGAGAGGTGGAGGTTGCAGTGAGCTGAGATTGCACCACTGCACTACAGCCTGGGCGACTGAGACTCCATCTCAAAATAAATAAATAAATAAATAAACAAGAGAATACAATTAAATATGCCAGACAATCAAGCACTATGAGCCATTGATGTAGACACAGATACCACTTTCTTGTGGCTTCTAGTACTTATCTGCCAAACTCTGCATTAGAAATATCAGCTCCCCATAGTAACCAACATAATCAGAACTGATATCCAACTGCAATTTTTAATGAGGGAAAACAGAATAACTTACCTTGCAATATAATTTAACGATTTAGTATATTCAGAGATAGAGTCCATATATCCTTGATATAAAATCTAAACCCAGTTTCTTAAAGTATCACACTAATATAGCCATACTATACCTTCCATGCTTATTTCTCTGTCATTTAGTGTGCATAACAACAACGATTCAAGCTTTTCGTGAAGAAAAATCCTCAGTAGGATGCTGGCCAATAGTGTTCGGTCTTGTCCACATACATGTGATAAAGCATAGACTACATGAAGTTCCTTTTGCAGTATAAGCTAAAATGACATTTTAAAAGACTGTTTAAAGTACATAGCATTAAGCATGCTCCATGAGACTAACAAGAAATATGTTCTTTCACAAGTTCTTATATTTAAAATGATGTCCCACTGAATAAATTTATTTAAAATAGAATGAATTCGTAATCTACCTATTTCTACCAAAATCACACTATAAAACAAGGTTTTAAATCTTTCTCTGGTGTCAGTGTGCTACTAAGCTATGAATTACTATGTTTAGCTTAATAGATTTTTTATTAAATGTTAAATGTTTCTGTTAATTCCAACAAAAACAAGATTGATAAATAACTTAATACCTCTTTAAATTCACTGTACTCTTCTTCTGGCATGATTTTTTCCATAGAGTATCGTGCTCGAACACGCAGGGACCCTGGTTCAATACCTTTTAATGGTATATGGGAGCTGAGCAGAAACCATTCATCTGTGGCATGCCCTTTCTGTAATCGGCTCAACTGGCAGCGCATAAATACTTGGGAAGAAAAACAAGCAATTATTGTCTAAAAAGATAACATGATAGTCATGCAAGTAAATTTTTCTGGTGTTCAGTCTTCTCTATGGTGTTAAATGCTTTTCATTAAAGGAGTTTTCAATAACATCACAAATTCAATATTTAATTGCTTCATTCATTTACTGAATGTCTACTGTGCACTAAACTCTGATAGGTAGGGAGTATAGAGATGATTGAGATGTGGTCTTTGAGTTGCATAGAGGTCAGTTTAGTCAATAAGGCAAGAAATCAATTATGTTTCAGCATTAAGTGCTGTTAACAGTGGTGAATGCTATTCGAGTACAGATTAAATAATACCTAATTCAGCCTGTGGAGGTGAAAACTCCACTTTAAACAGGTAACCCTTGAGCTGACAAGATCTGGAAGTGTAGCTAAGAAGAAAAGTAGTGCAAAAAGAAAAGAGAGCACTTAAAATATAAGGTATGGCCTTCCTTCTGTGTCATTACTGTGGGGTTTGGATTTTATCGTAAAAGTAATGGAAAACTAAAATTACTACAAAAAATTACAGAATAAACATTTTATAGAGGAATATTCAGGCTTTAATCTGTCTGTTAATACATATCACTTCCTTCCCTAAGCCTGAGTGTTAAGAAGGTATTAACCTAATTCACCCTGATGTGAACTGGTAAATCCCACTGTCAACTGCTTTAGAGCAGTATGGAAGGAGTTGTGCTGCTGAGGACAGGAACTGGAAGCCTTTGACTACCAGAAGTGAATAAATGATATATTCAAGTTTAAGGGAAATTTTTAAATAGAATACTTTTTTACTAATATGCTAATGTAATCCCAGCACTTTGGGAGGCTGAGGCAGGCAGATCACCTGAGGTCAGGAGTTCGAGACCAGCCTGGCCAAAATGGTGAAACCCCCGTCTCTACTTAAAAAAAGTACAAAACTTAGCCAGGCATGGTGGTGGGCGCCTGTAGTCCCAGATACTCAGGAGGCTGAGGCAGGAGAATCGCTTGAACCTGCGAGGTGGAGGTTGCAGTGAGCCAAGATCACACCACTGCACTCCAGCCTGAGCAACAAGAGCAAGACTCCATCTCAAAAGAAAAAAACGGAAAAACCTAAAAAGTAGAAAGAAGGGATGAGGGCAAGCCCTACAAAAAGACCACTGTAATCATTTTCTTATTCTTCCTATTCATTGGAGAAAGGAGGGTGGCTAGATACTTTAATCTTAATTGCCTAACAGTATGTACGGTTGAACCGTGTTGGTCTTTTTCTTTCTTAGGTATACTCTTTCTTGATAATCAATACTTTAAGATAATCAATACAATAATGCAGAAAGAAACTATCTCAAATTATACTACGTGTATTTCTGATTTTTTTTTAAATTTCTATTTCAAGACTTTCATTGTGAATTTTAAAAGTATATAAAACATGCTTTTTCTATTTTAGAAAGTTTCTGTATCAACTTACAGATATCAGGATCTTTGCTTTTCTTTGTTTTATTACTGAGAGTTATTTCAAATCTATTGATGTCAGGAGGAAGATCACTAAAGGAGCAAGGAGAAAAAGAATTAACAAAATGATCTGGCATCAAACTACCTTATTTCTTTAGTTCTAGTATCAAATAAACCCCCATTTCTGCCAAAAAAAAAAAAAAAAAAAAAGTGTGCTAGACCTAAAACCAGATTCACAACGTATTTTATTATTTGGTATACAGAAGACACGCAAATTACACACTTTTCCTACCATCTTTAACCTCCTAAACTAATAATTCATTCAACTAAGTACTGGAAACCCTAGTAAACATTCTGTATGTGTGGATTAGTAAAGTTTTTTGACTTGCTAATAATTCATGTTAATAACTAAGTGGAAAAACCAAGGGCATAGCACTTCACAAATAAAGGTAAACAAACACAACAGAAAAAAAATATATATATATAGCTATTAGGACACCTGAATATGGTACCTTGTTCTGATGGTTTAGAGACCAAAAAAAAAAATAGAAAGAAATGCAATATGGTAAAAGAAAATGATTAATGTAATGATAAAATAAGACTTACTCAAAGACAAACTCTTCTGACCACACTGGGTTTTGCCCTTCCCTTGCATGAGTTTTTGCTACTTGGACACTATTCAGGTAGATGTTACAATATGGATTAGTAAAATGTTTTACTGGGAGTTTATGGGCTTCTTCAATATGTAAAACAAGGCTGCTGACCTAAAAAAAAAAAAAAAAAAAAATTACCCCAGATTTCTAGAATTGCACATTTCAAAAGCAATTACTCTAAGATACAAAGCCAAAAATAATGATTTATTTTCCCCTTTTTTCAGAAAATACGAGCTTTGGTTATATTTTTCCTTTATATATGACATACTTAAAACATTCAAACATTTAAAATAATTCTTCCCACCTAAAAAGATAAAACAATGCAATTTTATTTTACAAGTTATTTCTCCCACTACATACTTGGAGAAATAATGAAATACATCTTTTCTACCATAAAACAATGATAAAGAGAAAATGAAGTTAAGAAAATTCTTTACTAATATAAGTAAACAACTGTCACTACTCAAATCGAAATCCCGTATGTTATATAATATTTATCTGGAAGATTCTATTTCTATAGAAGAGTTCCACAGCTAAACACTTTTAAAACACTGACCTTACCTTCTTATTTTACAGGAAAGGATACAAACCTAAAGAAACTAAGTTATTTGTCAGTTTGGATGCCAAAACTTACATCATCTACCTTCTAGTATCAGGTCCTCTTTCTCTCTTGCCATATACTACTTGTGTGGCCTTGGACAAATCTGTCCCTCTAAGCCTCATCTTTCTAATATGTAAGTATAAAGTCTACACTACAGGTTGTAGTAAGGATTACAAACTAGTTATCCCTCAGTTATCTGTGGGGGACTGATTTCAAGACCCTCCACCTCTCTCTCCTGGCAGATAACTAAGCCCAAGATGCTCAAGTTCCATATAGAAAATGACGTAGTATCTGCATAAAATCTATGCATGCCCTCCTGTATGCTGTAAATCATCTCTAGATTACTTGTAATACCTAATACAATGTGAATGCTATGTACATAGTTGTTATACTGTATCTTTTTATTGTATTTTTTTCTGAATAGTTTTGACCCATGGTTGGTAGATTACAGTGATGCAGAACCCATGAATAGAAAGGGCCAACTGTATATGTAAATCACTAAATCTCACTGCCCACTGATACATAAAAAGTGTTTGAGATGTTAGCTATGATTATGTTAAACCTGCAAATGTCAGTTTAATGGCTCAAGTTTCATACAAAATACAACTTGCTCTTATTTGCAAAAATCCAATCTGATTTTTGATAGCTTACAAAATGTTACAATGTTATGAAGACATGGCGATTGTGTGTCTACTTAAATTTCCCTGGCTAAGAGCCAGACTTTGGGTTACAGGGACTATTTAGTCACCTAAATGTCAACCATTATCCACTCCCAGTAGAACAGTATGTTAATCACTCAGCTTATCAGATATTCACATGAAGAGAACAGGAGACACTTTGGTCAGTAAATATTGTACTCAACTTTCTTTAAAACCTCGAGAATGTCAAAATTTGCCTAACTTCTTCCAATATATAGGGATTACTATAAAGAAAAAAAGCCAAGAAATGGAGGTTATAAAGTTACTCTTGTAAAGGCAAAAAAGAGAAAGCCTAGCTTAACTCTCCACAACTCCAAGTATAGGGCATGTTACAGTTTCAAATAAGATTAAATATTTCCTAAGAGTTAAGCAGTAGGTTTTAAAAGCTGTTCTTCAAAATGAAAATCCCAAAAAAGTTCATTGAGATTTGTGCTATAAATCTGATGATCTTTTCAATGTTCTACTTTTTTGAAAAAGGCCAAAATAATTTTTTAAAGGAAAATTAAGTGCCCAACAGAACAGTTTCTGCTGTGTTGGTTTAGTATTGTTATTTAAAGTGGAAGAATAATCTTTCTTATGTTTTCAACATTTGGCATTTTGGACTAAGAAAGAACATTCTCTTTCATAAAGAAGTAACATTTTCCTGCTACTAAAGCAAGTGGCAGCATGGCTTAACCCCTCCTAAGATATGATGTCCAAAACAGTTCAGATAAAAATAAAATAAAAAGAGCGAAGCGTTAGAGCAAAATGTGACAATTAAAAATCAAAGAAAATTAAGCTTCACCTGACGAAGGCGTTTATTGGATGTCCCTGGACTACTTTTCCGTAAATTGCAAAATGCCTGCAGACCTTTCATCCAATCCTACAAAGAAAAAAAGCATTTCAAAGAAATATACACTAGTTTATTTGGTTTCCAAATCATCAGTTAGGTTTTTTTTTTTTTTTTTTTCAAATTCAACAATTCCTTCCTTCTCTAGACTGCCCTTTCGTTTCTCGGACTATATTGCACTTTATAACAATAACCAATAATAAAATAATAAATAATAAAGTAATAACAATAAAACAACCAAAACAGTTGTAATTCTGTATAAATCTTTGTTTGAATTTATGTATTAAACACATCGAGTGGCCATTAATTAGCCAAAAAATCAAATTTACATGAAAGAAACTGTTTCTCCCAAACATACTACCTTGGGGAAGTTAACTGTCAAGTATAATTAAGCTGTTACACTTGAGGCAAGCTTAGGTGGAATTTGATACATTTTTTGAGAAGGGGAGAGGGCTGATTCTAAAACCAACTGATAACGTTATGACTGATCCCATGACAAGCATGCTAATCTATACTTTAGGCCACGATACAGGCAGAAATGTATAAGGGGATTTGGGTTATTTTTAAGCTTTTAAATATAACATTAGATTTTAAAAATCATTTTAGCCTAATATTCAAATCAAATTGCAGCCATATTTTTTAAATGTTTAGTGCTTTGGGGGAAAGAAGAGAACTAAGGTTTATTAAAAATAAATCTAAATATTCACTTTGGTTTTTACATGTTTCTGGAAAGCTGTGTTCTATTGCTTTATTCAATTATGTCTTTAGTTTGTTGGCTATTTCAGTGAAGCTGAACTTTATCAATATTTAGAAACAGTCTTTATATTACAGCAAATTAAAACCAAATCAGTTACCATAGGTTTTTGAAATAGAAGAGAATAACCAGAGACCCCCACAGCCCAACAAATCGACAAAAACTGGAAATACCATTTATGGAAATATATAAATATTATGTATAAATATATTTAAAACATTCTAAGGCTGCAAAACATGCTGAAATGTCACTATGGTATGTGACACATTTTTATTCAGAAAGACGGACGATGGTAAAATGATTAGAAAATAGGATACTGAAGTTAAAATTTCTAACTCAATTTCTAACATTTAAAAAAATCATGTAAGTTACCAAAATGTTTTGAGCCCTACCTTTCTCGTCTAAAACTTAGGGATACATAGCCATAAAATTTTATGTGCATTACATGTGAAATGAGCATTTAAATGAGATATTTTATAAAGATGTGAAATACGACATTCAGTTACAAGCTACAAAACACAGTGGCTCATTCAAGTTTATTCTGTGAGTCTCATGCTAGGATCCAGTTTTAAGGGCATCTTCCTCATATCTAGGGTTGGCAAATTATATTTCCAACAAAGCCACTTTCACTTCTTAACCACGTTTAAGTTCTTTCATTAGAGTATAAGCCGAAATTTAGCCATATTTGTGTAAAATACGACCATATACCCCAGAAGTATTAGGGTTCAAAGAAAGCAAAAAAAAATTTTAAGAGACAGTATCTCAGTCTGTTGCCTAGGCTGGGGTACAGTGTCTCAATCTTACTCACGGTAACTCAAACTCCTGTGCTAATGCAATCTTCCTGCCTCATTCTATCCAGTGGCTGGGACTACAGGCATGAGCCAGAACACCCAGCTAATTTTTTACTTTTGTTATAGAGGTGGCGTCTCCGTTTGCTGCAAAATATTTTTTAAAGAGTTTTTTTCTTTAATATTATTTCTTCACAAAATTACTTAATAGAAGCTGTAAGAAGGACACTGCACATGGATCAATAGCTAATCTAAAGTAGACATTATATGTAGACTTGGCTTGGAGAACAGATTCCTAAAATCTCTTTCCTTGTGTTGACTGACTTTTATTTTCAGACATGGAGTTCAACCAGTGAAGAAGAATAATTAATGCCTGTTACTAACTGGCTTACCTTTGGATTGTACTGAGATTATCTACAGCCTTTATGCAGAGAGGATTTTAAACGAGCATTCTCAGTTGGACTCAACATCATAGAGTATTTAAAGGTCAATTTAAAATGGAGTTTTCATTCCTAATAACCCTTCACTGTGTTTGTTTCTGCATTTCTTTCAGAAAACTTTTTACATATGAAATCTCTTTCCTTAAAATAAGAGATGATTAGATTTCAGGGCTTCTATCACTTTATCTTGAATGCAATCATTTTCTATTTCAGTTAATAAGAAAACATGGGCTAACATAAAAGTTTACAGTGGTTGAAGAAACAGTACTCTTACCTCTGCTTGTTCTGGAGTTTCTCCTGCAAAGTAAAAGATGTAATGTTCTTCGCTAAAGTGCTGAACTACTATCTGAAAACAGTTTGGCCTTTAAAATAAAAACAAAAATTATTAGGAAGCTTAACAAAAAGCAGCAAAATATTTATACCAGCTTCCAAAACACAATAAATAACATAAAATTATAATTCTTAAGAGAAATAATACTCCACTGTACTAGATTATTAAAAAGAAGTCAGCTGTATATATTTTAGAAAACTTTATGTCAGCACTATTAAAATTTTATCAGTGTTTCAAAGTGTAAACTAAAGCAATTTCAATTAATTGTAAAAGACATTAGAAATGAAGTTACAAATTGAAGCTGAATTGCTACAACTACACGTAACAGCTAATCTGAAAAACTTTATATGCACTGGAAAAAGACTAGAAATGTTCTTAGACCAAAAATGTTCTAAGTAATTATCTCTAAGGAGATTGCAGGTGATTCTATATTTTCAAATTTTTCTAAACTGATCATTTTTCTTCACCTGTTGAAATGGAAACATCATCTCCTTATACATATGGTGTTCTAGAGTTTAAGTGAACAGCTGTGTACAACAAATGTTCTTGTCTTCCTTTAGTATTATTATAAATCATTTGATACCACTTTTGAAAATGTGCTATCTTTCCAACTAGACTTGAAAATACTGATAAAATCTTTACTAAGGGCCTGCATGTTTTTGGAACTCAATAAATGTTACTTCTATTTCCTGCTTTAAACAAAGATTTTATATCATGCTAATGTTAGGCGGCCATAGCAAAAATACACAGAGGACAGGCTTAACACTTATTAAAGATAAAGACTATCTTTTCATGCTTTGAGAATGTCCTAAAAATAATCATGGAAAATAGGAATTGGAAACTCCCAATTCTAAATATTGCCTGTATCAGACTAACCATCCTAGTTGGGTAAAATTTAAAATATTAATACAAAACAAAAAAAACAACTGTTTGAAAGCACTGGAGAACAACCAAAGCAGCTAAGATTTGAGGAGCCAAGATCATACTATAATGAACCCGACATTCTCCACAGCTTTTCCATTCAAGGCAGTTGCCAATTCCTAAGCTGTGTAGCTGAGATGCTAAGCAGAAAATAGTAGCTAAAAGGCTAAAAAACTAACTACAAATCCAGTAGTTTGACAGTGCTGGGAGGGGGAAAAAAATGAATTTCAGGCTTTCCACTGAGACCCCTGAAGGGCTATGCCTTCATGATAAGGGCAAATCAGAAATGGAACAGCCTTTACAAGATGTACTATCCCTAACTATCCGTAAGAACAATTCTTTCTGGACATAGTAACATTATTATCCATAGTTTCCATAGTTTTTCATGTACAATGTTTACCATTCAATCAAAGTAAGTAGACCCTACAGGCATCAGGATTAAATGGCTAAAAGTTGCTGGGATTACAGGCGTGAGCCACTGTGCCCAACCCTAAAAGAAAAATCTGTTTTCTAAATGAGAGACTTGAGTTTAGTTCTCATTAACATAACTTTTTCATACTAGGTTTCAGACTTGGTATCATTAAATATAATTCATGACAAAGACTTTTTTAAATGTCTTCATATTCTTTTAAGTCACCTTCAACAAGAAACTGCACAAGAAACAAGTTACAACTTCATAGCAAGTGACAAAAGTATATTTATTGCTTTTCCCCATACCAGACAGAAACTCCTTTCTTGTTACTAACCAGAATAGGAATCATTCAGAATCTTCAACTTGTACTTCAAGGATCTGATCCTTCTTTTTACTCTAGCAGTTCTTTCTCTTTTACTGTCAAGTGTAATGTGGACCTTTCTTTTGATTGTGCCAACAGATTTCCAATCTAACTGCATCTGTTCATATAAACTAATGCTAAAGCTTTTCTTCAGTTTTACAGATATTGCTATATTCCTCTTAATACTTCCTTAAGATTCATATAATTCCAGTTTTAAGTATCACTAGTGAATCATTTTTAACTTCATTTTTCCCAGGTTGAATTTCTGCCTTAAATCCATAAACTGTTAAAACACGTATCTTTTTGTATTGTACATATAATTTGACGAAGTTTACTCATTCTTCAGTAAACCTGCAAAATGAGAATCATTCCCCAAAAGTTTTTCTCCTGTAATCATAAACTTTTATCAAAACTTTTCTTTTGGACAGCTAACATACTTCAGCATCCAACAGTAGGTATTTTGATTCCACTTGTCACATAAAACTGAAAACGCATGCAACTGAAGCAGCTTAGATTTTATTACAGCCTCCATTTCATTCTATTATTTAATATGGAATTCAGGTCTACAGACAAACATATATATAATCTTGACATAAAATCTTTAAATGTTCCTATCATGAAGGCTCATCATCAGTCATTAACTAGCATTTCCATAGGACCTTCGTTGTTTCAAAGTATTAAAGAAATACATTTAACAAAATGTATTTTTTTCGGGGCCTAGTGAGTGAGTTACATTTTTTTTAAATTATTTTTCATCTTACGAGTCTAATGACTTGCCAATGTTAGTCACCAAATTGCCCTTATTGGGGGAAAATTAATATCAGTACATTAAGGCTAATTATAAAGTAGTAAAAATGAAAAATATATCAAATTTATTATGTTCTTTTCAAGAACCTCCTTATATATTTTACAACGATAATTACAACAATTTTAACTTCCCTGTTAATTGAAAGAAATGTAAGAAACAAAATGAGACATTTCTGCTTGAACATAAAAAGTAGCTTCATGATGATTAACAAGCTGTGAATAAAGTAATATTCAGAGTACCTGGATGATTGAACAAGAAAGTAGGAAGTACTGAAGTATAGCCACTATAAAAAGCTCTCTGTCTCCAAGTGTTATGTACCAATTCTTTTGCCCCAATAAAATAATGAATTGGAACAGTTTATACAGGGATCATATGATTTCAAGTGTTATAATTTTTGAAATGTAAAACATCTGTTAAATACTTGTACTACAATAGGATTTTACAACCACTAGTATCTCAAGGGACACCTACACTGATTAATGGAACACTGGTTAGGAAGCTGTGCTTAACTATCCAAATAAATTCATACCCATCCTCCAAGAATCAAGAACCACCTATTTCATATTACTGATCTCAATGAAGTTGTTCCCAAAATATCATCCGACTTTTACTGTTTTAATTGTTTTCACGATAATAAACTACATTTAGTAGTGAATAGTGTCGTCTCCAATATCCATTTCACCCATACATATGGTAAGTAGAGCAGCGTCACTATTTGGGTGAGATCACTTCTAGCAACAGATCTGGGCACAAAAGGGCCTCCTCATTCTATCGGGATAATCCCATTCCTTTTGCTACCTCAGGTAACCTAGAACTAAAAATTGGTTGAGAGGTGGCTCAACAGAGTATTTTCAAGATTTTTAATAATTATGGGAGTGAATGCTTATGGCCCTTTCTCTGGTGCTGTTTGCCACCTTGCTACTATGTAGGGAACTGGTTTGAGGAAGGATTCAACCCACAAGAAGGGTGCAGAGTAGAACTAAAGAGAAAAGCCAGAGACCTGAATCAACCACATTTGAAGGCTAAGATTCTCAGGTTCTGAAAAAGGGGCAGAAAAATCTCAAGAAATCCTGTCTCGCACAATCTGTGTTTTTTGGAACAACTCTTTATGAGGTATCAGAGAGTATTCAAGGACAAAAAAAAGGGTATCTTTGTAAAATGAATTTATGAAGTAATTCATACTATTTTAGAGATTCACAATATAAACACTAGCTAAGAATACAAAAAGCCTTGCTATATATAAGTAAAACTATTTGTTCAATCAGCATTCCCCAAACCTATCTGATCATTTTAAAAAACTGTCAAAATCACAAATAACACTAATGTGATCTCCTAAACACACTCTGAAAAAAGAAATGACAAGGCTATATATTTTACAGGTATTTCTCTTAAGAGAAATATTTCAACAGGATAAAACGTAGATTTGCCTCACAGAAATGCCATCCTGCAGCAGAAAAACAAGCTGTTGAAACATTTGTTTTAACTGCCTTTTCTCTAACTAATTGTGACAATAGGTAATAAAAGTGGTAAGTACATCTAAAAAGACTGGGATGGATTACTGATAATACTAATGGTGAAAGGTAAAAGGCTGTTGTTCTTGAGCAAAAATCCAGATGTAATCAAGAGCTGGATTTGTCCTCTGATGTTTAGGATTCAGCTTATACATTTATATTCATTTTTTTAAAACCAAGAAATCAATGTAAGAAGAATTTTTTTTTTTAATTTCAAATACATTTTTCCTATCAAGACAATTTTAAGATTATTTTTTAACGTTAACTTTTCTCAAGAACTTGCTTACAGAGTTAATGGCAGAATTGAGTGCACCTAGTACTCTTGGGTACACTGAGTTAAAGCATGTGAAAAAAACAGAGGAAAGATGACAAAGACTCAAAGTCAGTCACTCAAAAGATTGCTGGTGGGGGCAGGGAGAAAACATGCCTTATACTACAGGAAATGTCATGCCAAAGATTTCTATGCAATACAATGGAGTAGACTTTATGCATATGTTAGTGTAAAATTAAGCAAGGAAGGCAAAAATTACCTAGAAAGTACATCTACTACTGTTAGAAGGTAATTTTAGGGCTCTCAAAATTGGTTTGCTTTGTTTATACCCACTATTTTATTACTAAGACAATCCCGAAAGAAAAATAGGAAACCAGTCTCTTACCTGCCAAAGAGACTATCGTGAACGACATAGACAGAACATACACTGAGATCTATTAATCCTTTTGGTTTGGTAGCTCGTTTTTCGCTTTCAAAATAAATAAGCTGGGCATCACTACCCTCTAAGATAAAATATAAATTTTTCCAACGTTTTCCTTTGCCTGTTAAAAAAATAATAATAATTATTTTCTCTTAGCCAAATAATTGCGAAATTCTACACATTATTAAAATTAGTGTTTCTAAAAATATGAATCAATTTTTATTCCAAAGCTTATGTAATATGCCAATTCTTACATAATGAGAAAATGCCTGTAACAAATCTATACAAAAATGCCTTTTGTTACATTACTTGTTTTAATCACAGAGTAAATGTTGAGAATACTTTATATCTTCAGAGATTTCATCATGAGGAAATCGTCAAAATTCTTGTTTTGGAGTAATTCTTTAACAGTCTTCAGGAAAAAATTCTTCCACTAAAGCACACCCCCACCCACAATTCCCCAACATGTCTTTATGTCAAATTGAGGTAAATCTGTAAAATATCAATACTATGAATGTGCTATGTGCCATAAAGAGTTCCTCAAAAAAAAAAAAAAGAGAGAAAGAAAAAGAAAAACCATGGGCTGAAGAAACATTCTGGTTGGAAATATAGACTTTTAAATATACCTACACCCTAAATTTTGAAGAATGCTTATATATGGGCTCTAAACAAGTGTCAGTTACTAATAACTCATGTCAAAACTTATTAAATATATATCACAATAAGTTCGGAGCTCCATATTTACAACATCTCTATCAAATGGGTTAATGATGAAAGTCTGAACTTACTCTTTTTCAGAAGATAACCTTTCTTAACAATATTTTTATAGAAGGCATCCTTTGTTTTACGACGGATAGTATTATAAATTTCCTTGCCATCCACTGCGTCATTGAGTACTTGTTCTTGATCCTGAATTTTAAAAAACATTAAAATTATTTCATACATTCTTGATGGAAATGAAGTAAAAAATCTATAAAATTACCAATTAAAAGCCAAAGTGCTTAAAATACCAAAATCTAGATATACATAACACATAAATGATTTTTTGCTTTCCAAAGAAATTCTCAGAAATGTTTCCTTATAATTTCGAAGAACACAGACAACGTTCACAGATTTCCTTGCCAGTCCTAAGAACAACTAATAAGTTGTCTGTTTCCATGGATACCTAATAAACTATTTTCAAATATAGTCAATTATACTTTACAGCAAATAATGTTTTAAAAACATAAACTTGTCACAGCATAACTGGTAAATTAGGACCCAATAAAAAAAATAAATTCATGTTTGCTTATGCACAGTTGTGTCTGTGAGAAATGCTAGGTGAATACAGACAACAGTACCCAGGTGAACTAAGACATGAGAATGAACAAAACATACTTCGAATACCTAACAGTTCCCTCAATCCACTAAGTGTGTCACATTCCACACCCATGCATCTGCAGCTGGTGTTAATAACCCTGATTTCAGATAATCTTCCTCTGCCAATCTGCAACATTCCCATGCTTCAACCCTACCAATGGCCATTTCCACATGTAAACTTCAGGTCTTTCTTCAAGGTAAAATGCCATATTTATTGTAGTATGTACATATTTATTAAAAAGAAAATATAAATATATAAAATTAAGCAACATGTTTATATTAGGTTCTTTCTTGATGTATCATTGATGAAATTTCTAAGTGTTACACCCTTAACCTCACTTTTCCCAAAAGCCCTGTGGTTTTGATTGCCTGATTTTGCATAATGCTATGATTTTTAGGAATGTATATGTTACATTTTAGCAGAACTTACATTAATTGCTAAATCCCCTGAGAAAAAGAATTATATCAGGATGCCTTTATCATGATCTTTCCAGAATGAATGAATCTTCAATTTTACTATTAAGGTCAGTTGGACTGTTTTAGTTTTCTGGTTTCCTTTTTGAGTAGCTCTTAACTATTTTGCAAGGATTAATATTTTATGACTTTTAGTCCATCTTACAAACTTCATGGGTCCATTCAATCCTGTTATAAATCTAAGTTATGCTGTGGGATTTTCACAATCCTCTCTCTCCTGTATCTTGAAATATTATGCTGTTTCATCATCCTAGGAACTATTTCATCATTACTCAGAATTATTCCCAAGTTTATGCTAAAAAATTACTAAAATAATAAGAAAATAGAAGAATGAATTGCCTACAGCAGGGTTGACAAACTATGGCATGCAAGCTAAATCCAGTCCACCACCTGTTTTTTATACATAAAGTTTTATTGGAACACAGCCATGCTCATTCCCTAACATGCTGTCTGTGGTTGCTTCCAGATAAAAAGACAGACTTTAGTGGACACACTAAATGAACTGCAAAACCTTTTACAGGAAATTTTTGCCAACCCCTGGCCTAGATAATATAACTGAAATAAATCATCTGTATTGCTTCACTCTGGGTGTTTTCGTGTCTCTGTGTGTGTGTGTGTGTTTTAACTGTGTTGCAAAGTATTGCAGCGTCTTTTGTAAAAATATAAAAGGCCATCTTTGCTTTATTTTTAGCTTTGATTGATCGTACTTAAAATATTCAGAACTCTTTATTTTCTGCTCATAAATGATAAAGAGAAAAAAACTGATCCAGGAAGATATCTGGCAATTAGAAAAATCAGAAAATGAATGCAAAGAAATAGCACTCTAGACTCTACCATGATGGCAGAATTGATTTTGATAAATCTCAGACTGTTTTTCAGGTGATGATATATTTGAATTTTCTCAAACTCAAGAATCACTGAGTGAACCACATTACTTCTAAGGGGAAAAAAAGGAAATACGATGTTCTCATCTGGTTAGTTATTAAATAGGAAGAATGTCGTCATGCAATATTTTGTGATAACCTGGATTATCCTGTTCGGCTAAAAAGAAATGAGACTATTTAAATTTTTGTATGTACATCAAAATTTACTTAATATGACTTGTGAATGGGCAAATATTAAAGGCCCTTTGTAAAAAATTACTGAAAGTAAACATAGAAATTTTAAAATTCACTGGATTGATCACTCTTATAAACAACGTTAATTGCTGTTTTAAAATCTAAACAAAAATATTTTACAATTATGGAGCAAAGGACACTGTACTCTCCAACAAAATTATGAGCCATCAAAGTTTTCAAAAGTACTGCATTTTGCTTGCGCCTTTAATCCCAGGACTTTGGGAGGCTGAGGCAGGATCATCTGAGGTCAGGAGTTCAGGACCAGCCTGGCCCACATGGTGAAACTCTGTCTCTACTAAAAATACAAAATTAGCTGGGCGTGGTGGCGCGTGCCTGTAATTTCAGCTACATGGGAGGCTGAGGCAAGAGAATCGCTTGAACCCAGGAGGCGGAGGTTGCAGTGAGCTGAGATCGTGCCATTGCACTCTAAGCCTGAACAAAAAAGAGCGAAATTCTGTCTCAAAAAAAAAAAGAAAAAACTACTGCATTTTGATAATACAAAAACAAGAAAGAATCATAAGCTAGATTGCAATAGTGATGTACTTAAAATCTAGAATTGATATGATAGATATAATGCAAGAAGAACCAAAGTAATTACAAGTAGAACTTATTAGACATGTATCTGATTTAAAATCTGGAATCAGAATTTACAAGATGGCTGTGTTTCAGGTCTGTGCACAAAGGGTGAAGAACTGTTAGTTGCATTGAAAATACTGTCCATTTCAGGTACGTAAGCCTTCCTAGACATGAAAACATGGAACAAAAATTTGGGTACGCTACATTTAAATTCTTATTACATTTTCCAATGCAGTTGTTTTTGGATCATACCCTGATTCTTGGTGATGCGAATTATTTGTAAAATGACTTAGGAATATAAAAAAATTAAAAGGGTACACTGGACCATGATGTTACAAATAGTGATGACTTTTTTTTACTTTCCTGTTAATACAGATTTGTATTTACCAAATCTTTAGTTCAATGGTGATGGCACTTAGTATTAGCTGCAGAATGGAACATTCTTGGAGTCTGTCATTTAAAACATGTAACCACACTAATATTTGGATTTAAATACTTGATTCCAAGATGCTCTATATAGGTCATTTAAAAATCATATGAAAGTGGGGACTAGTCCACAAATCCTAAAGGATTCCAATGCACTAGATGATGCTATAGGCAAGAACACAACTTCACTTTTCAAGTCCTAGTAAATGATAGGAGAAAGCCTTCTCTGTGTGTTCCTTTTCTCAGCCCGAGAGAGAGATCTTAGATTTTTTACATTTCTCCCAAGGGAAGTTCAATAATCGGATTGGTGACAGTCTAACAGCCACTGAACCAAGCATTTCCCTAGAAGTTACATATGTAAGCTCCTGAAGGCAGACTTAACTTGCAGATCCTAGCTTTGTTACTTAATGTAGGAAAACACCATTTAATATATTAATTCAATAACTGTTTGTTGAGTCCCAGGCATTGCTGTAGTTCTTGAAATACATCAGTGAACAAATCAAAGACCCCTATCCTCATGGAACTTATATTCTAACCAGGGAAAGATTAAAAATAAACATAAATAAATAAATTGTACTGTATGTTAGAAGATAAGCGCTCTGCAGGGTTGAGCAAGTTACAGTGTTAATTAAGGTGTCTAGGTAAGTGTCATTTGCTAATTTGCTAAGTTTTGAGAAAAAACTTGAAAAATTTGTTAGGTTAGTGGATATCCAAGGGAAAATAATTTTGGACACAGTGAGCAGCTACAGCAAAGATCCTAAGGAAGGAAAGAGTCGAGTTCAGAAAATTAATGGACTGCCACTGTTGGGTCTTGTATGCCATTCTAAGGACTTTGGCTTTTATTCTGAAAGAAACAGAGAACATTTTCAAGTATTAAAACAGAGGAGTAACATGATCTGACATTTTAAATGGATCCCAGTGATAGCTGCGTAGCATGCAGCATAAGGGGACAAAGCTAGAAGCTAGCAGATTGAGGCAGATTCTGGTGGTGGTCATATTCTAGACATACTTTGAAGGCAGAGTCAGGATGATCTTCCTGACAGGTTAGATATAGAGTACAGAAAGAAAAAGAGAAAAACTGAGGATGATTTAAGTTATTTACTTAACCTCTCAGCTCTCAGTTGCCTTATCTTTGAAATAGGTGTCGTCATTATAGTGTCACCTTGGTAAAGTTGTTGAGAAAATTAAATGAATGAATATGTATAAAAAACAGTGCTTAAAATATAGTGCTCAAAAATGTAAGGCATTTTTATTATGGGGTGTATTGTCTCAAAAGGCCCCTTTTCTACTAATGCTTGTCTCGACAAGTGTTAATAGTTCCAGGAAGTAAGCAAACCTAGCTAGGACTCTGCTTTTTCTTAGCCTTTGCCAGCATCTTAGCCTGAGTCTGGGTACACAGGGTCACCTCATTGGAAGATAAGGTGATTTGCTAGCTAATCAATTCGGCAATTAGTAAAAACATTTTACTTGCTTTTGTACTAACAGTTAAAATCCTGCTTGAAGAATGAGTTTTATTATTCCCCAAACCTCTACTAAAACCTACTTTTCACCTCATGCTCCAAAATAATAGACCACAAATAGCACTTAATAGTTTCTGTGTAGCAATCAAATTGCTTTATAATCAATATTAATTATTTCTGAAGTATTCAAAGCATTACAGGCACTTTTGCAAAACCAACTGGAGGTTTGTTCAGTTATAAAACAGTAACACAAGAGTGAGGCATATTATGTATCTGAAGTAATTCTTAAAGCAGTCTTATACTGCAAATTTACTAGATGCCACATACTATTTCTCTCTCTTTTTTTTTTTTTTTTTTTTTGAGACGGAGTCTCATTCTGTCGCCCAGGCTAGAGTGCAGTGGCGCAATCTTGGCTCACTACAACCTCCACCTCCTGGGTTCAAGCGATTCTCCTGCCTCAGCCTCCAGAATAGCTGGGACTACAGGTGCATGCCACAATACCCGGCTAATTTTTTGTATTTTTAGTAGAGACGGAGTTTTCACCGTGTTAGCCAGGGTGGTCTTGATCAAAACTTAAATTAGAAAATTCTAAGTACAAATTCAGTATGGGGAAATGTATGATTTAATTTGGGGTCAAATAAAATCACTAATTCAAAGAGCCAAGGGGAATCAGAATTGAGGATACAGCAATGGAACTATATAGCAGGATCTGTCATCTGGAGGCAAAAGCATCTCTAATCCTGAAAAAAGACGCTAGCCGTGGTCTAAAAAGCACTCACCACATGTTATTTAAAACATAGACATATATAAAACATATATATTTGTGTGTGTGTGTCTGTGTGTAATATGTTCTGGCTACCTTCTCTTCCAATTATTCTGCAGTAATCAAAAATTACTCAAAAAGTGAAACAAGATGGATGTTAAAATAGCAGTATTTAGACAGGTAGAGAGGAAGACTGACATGGCGATAGGAAGGAGCACATTAAGGTGTAAGACATATTAGTAACAATACAGGCAAGAGTAAAGTAGGTACTTCTTGCTGAAAAGCAGATAATCATTCATTCAATCAATATTTATTGAATACCTAATGTCAGGTACTGTTCTAAGCACTGGGAAAAAAACAATGCAAACAAAAATCTCTGTTCTCATAGACCTTAAATTCTACTAGGAAAGCATGCAGGAACGAAGGAAAATATAGGCATACGTTGGAGGTATTTCAGATTTAGCTCCAGACCACCACAATAAAGCCAGCCATATGAATTTTTTGCTTTCGCAGTGCATGTAGAAGTTATGTTTACAACTATACTGTAGTCTGTTAACTGTGCAACAACATGTCTAACAATGTACACGTGTTAATTTAAAAATATTTTATTACTAAAAACTGTTGCAGCAGCCAAGGTGGCTCAAAACTGTAATCCCAGCATTTTGGGAGACCAAGGCTTGAGGCCAGGAATTCAAGACTAGCCTGGGCAACATAGCAAGACTCTATCTCTACAAAAAATATTAGCTAGGCACGGTGGTGTACACCTGTAGTCCTAGCTACTGGGGAGCCTGAGGCAGGAGGATTGCTTGAGCCCAGGAGTTCCAGGTTGCAGTGAGCTACAGTTGAACCACTGTATTCCAGCCTCAGCCACAGGGCAAGACCCTGACTCCAGAGGGGGGGAAAAAAAAAAAACTAACAATCATCTAGGCCCTCAGTGAGTCATAATTTTTATGCTGGTGAAGGGTCTTGCCTTGATACTGATGTCTGCTGAGTGATTAGGGCAGTGGTTGCCAAAGGTTGGGGTGGTTGTAGCAATTTCTTAAAAATGAAGTCTGCTGCATCAATTGACTCTTCTTTCACAAAAGAAATTCCCTAAAATGCTCTTTGATACCATTTTACCCACAGTTGAACTTCTTTCAAAACTGGAGGCATTCCTCTCAAACCCTCTTGCTGCTTTATCAAGTTAAGTTTATAGAATATTCTAAATCCTTTGTTTTCATTTCAATAGTGATCACAGGATCTTCACAGGAGTAGATTCTATCTCAAGAGACCACTTTCTTTTCTTATTCATAACAAGCAACTCCTCTTTCGCTCCAGTTTCATCACAAAAGTGGAGTAGTTCAGTCACATCTTCAAGCTCCACTTCCAAATCTAGTTATCTCGCTATTTCTACCACATCTGCAGCTACCTCCTCCTCAAAGTCATCTTGTAGTCTTGAGCCCCTCAAAGTTATCCATAAGAGTTGGAATCAGCTTCTTCCAAACTTCTGTTAATGTTGTTATTTTGGCCTCTGCCCATGAATCACAAATGTTCTTAATGGCATCTAGAATGATGAATCCTTTCCAAAGGGTTTTCAATGTACCTTGCCCAGATCCATAAGAAGAGTCACTATTTTTGGCAACTATAACATTATGAAATTATTTCTTAACTAAGGATTTGAAAGTCAAAATTACTCCTTGATCCGTGGGCTGCAAATACAAGCTGTGTTAGCTGGCATGAAAACAACAATCTCCTTGTACATCTGTATCTGAGCTCTTGATTGTAGAGTTGCATTGTCAGTGATCAGTATTATTCTGAAAAGAATCGTTTGTTCTGAGCAGTAGGTTTCAAAAGTGGCCTTAAAATGTTCAGTAAACCATGCTGTAAACAGATGGGCTATCATGCAGACTTTGTAGTTCCATTGACAGAGCACAGGCACAGTAGATTTGGCATAATTCTGATGCTCCTAGGATTTTCAGAATTGTCAATGATAACTGGTTTCAACCTAAAGTCACCAGCTGCATTAGCCCCTGAAAAGAGTCAGCCTGACCTCTGAAGATTTGAAGCCAAGCATTAACTCTTGCCATGAAAGACCTAGCTAACATTTTCAGATAGAAGGATGTTTTCTTTACACTGGAAATCTGTTGTTTAGCCACCTTCAACAGTTATCTTCTGGATAACTTGCTAGTTATCTTCTGGAAAACTAGCTAGATGTTCTGGGTAACCTGCTACAGTTTCTTTGCTTCACCTTACACTTTTATGTTATGGAGATAGCATCTTTCCTTAAATCTTATGAATCAACCTCTGCTAACTTTCAACTCTTGTGCAGCTTCCTCACCTCTGTCAGCCTTCACAGAACAGAAAAGAATTAGGACTTTGCTTTGGATAGGCTTTGGCTTAAGGGAATGTTATCCCTGGTTTAATCTTCACTCCAGACCACTCATATTTTCTCCGTATCAGCAATAAGTGTGTTTCACTTTATTATCATTCATGTGTTCAGTGCAGTAGCACTTTTAATTTCCTTCAACAACTCTTCCTTTGCATTCACAACTTGGCTGTTTGGTGCAAGAGACCTAGCTTTCAGCCTATTTTGGCTTTCACCATCCCTCCCTAAGCTTAATCCTTTCTAGCTTTTGACTTAATGTGAGAGACATGTGACTTTTCCTTTCACTTGACCATTTAGAGGCCACTGTAGGGTTATTAATTGGTCCAATTTCAATAGTGTTGTTTCTGGAGAAGTAGGAAGGCCCAAGGAGAGGAAGAGAAACAGAACCAGCCAGTCAGTGAAGCAATCAGAACATACACTACATTTATGGATTAAGCTTGCAGTCTTCTTCAGATGCAGTTCATGGCACCCCAAAACAATTGCAATAGTAACATTAAAGATCACTGATCACAGATCAACCTAACATATAATAGTGGAAAAGTTTGAAACATTGTAAGAATTACCAAAATGTGACACTAAGACACAAATGAGCACATGCTTTGGAAAAACAGTAGCAATAGACATCCTCGTTGCCACAAACCTTCAATTTGTAGGAAAAAAAAAAAACCTATCTTTGAAGCATAATAAGGCAATGCACAATAAAATGAGGTGTGCCTGTATGTTAAAATGTGGCAAGATTATGATTCTTGAATTTATATTTAGCTTCAGATTAATGATTCCTCATCCCCCTGCCTTCCCTCCCCCCCCAATTAACTGCAATAAGTAGTAAGTGTAACCACATGAAATGAACTTGTTAGGAGGAAACATCAAGAAACTAGGCACACTACAAATCACTGTACAACTGCAGCTGGGTACCCAAAACCCTTAATAATCCTTTATGTCCCTAGAATAACAGTACCTCCATTTTCCACTTAGGAAAATTATTAATCCATCTTTTGAAGCACCTTTTTCTAACTCCTGTTAAACCATTTCCCTACCATACATTTCAGAAAGTGCAATGAGGAAGAAACAGAAGCTAATCACCCTAAGCATTAAGCAACTAATATTTAACAGGCTCTCTTGCTCAAGGCCAATCTTTCCTTTTATGTTCTAGATTCTATTCATTTTTGTCTTCTCTAGGACCTTGTCCGTAAGATACTGCCACCACCCATCTCCCCATACGACATCACTCTCTTTACTACTATATAGTTTTTACTCAGAGTATACAGACATCCTCAAATTCTCTCACCATAAAACTACAGGCAAATAAAGAAAAAGTGTAAACCATTTTCTGCCCTAATCCTCCTCTGTCAGTATTTTTTATTTCCTTTTATTACTCCCCAGGCTTTAATAAGCCTGGCTGTGGTTTATCACTGCTGTCTCTACTTTTGCCTCCAAAAAACTCACTCCTGGACCTATTGCAACTCACCTTCCTCCACAACTGCTTCTAATCTCAAAAACCTACTAGGTTGCTCCTGATTACCTAAAATCAACATAGATAAAAACCAAAAGATTCTCTTACAGTTTACTTTCTAAAAAATCTAAATAATCTGTAGTTTTAAGTTGTATCCAATTTTAATTGTACAAATGTGTGCAAAAACATACCACCAAAATGCATTTTAAAATAAAATGCTAATTATTGCAATAAGAAACGCAACACTGACCTGCATTGGTACAGGTTCCTTAAGATAATATCCTTCAACAATCTGTTCTTTTCGATAGTGATCTATGATGTCCCCAATGCTGTTAAAATAAAAATTTTTAATATTAATCCGTCTGATAAAAATGCAAAATCTTTAAAAATATGTGTAAACTTTCTTACCAAGGATTATCTTAATTAGCAAATTTTTTTTCAAAGCACATAACACAAACACATTAATAGAATAAATGATCATAACATTCGTATTGTTTTAGAAAAACCAGAATGTTCTCAATATAGATTTACAGGCCAGAATACGTGGCCCAGGTTCTGATTTTCCATACCCATCAAGTGGGCAGCCAGGTCAACAATACCATATTCAAAGAGTCACCATAAATGAGGAAATGATTAAAAGTCTAACTTTTTTTTCACCCCCAAGAGTACTTCTGAGATACTACGAATGAAAAATTCACAGAAACATGGCATTTATTTAGGAAGCAGAATACAGGTAAATTAAGAATTTTTATTATCACATTTACACATTCTGGTTTTATATTAGAAACAGGTCATAAAACACATGAAAAGCAGGCAAAAAGAAGAAAAAAAACCCAGTTAATGTTACATGTAGAATTATCACTACAGGGAGAAAAGCTTATTATTTTGATTAAAGGTGCTACAAATTGGGAAATACTGGGAAAATATTACAAAAAAATAAAATGATGTACTGTGTTTTAATATAAATTTTAGTGAACCACATATTTTTTTAAATATAAAATTGTTTCTCTATAATCAGTCAGATCATTCTATTGTCCTGAATACATAAATCTTGGAATTTTAAACCTTCCTTTAATATAGTGGACAAATGGGAACTTTTGAGCCACTTAGGAAACACTTCTCCAGACAGATTTTGTTTAACCTACTATATATATATAATTAGAATCTATGTGTGTGTACGCATCTTCAAGTATGTTATCTTCGCTATACTACAAAGTTAATTTAAACCAAATATAAGTAATGTTAAAAAACAAAACAAAAAGACCTGACAAGTTAACTAGTAGTATGAATGAACTTAACAGAAGCAGCATTTAACACAAGCCACAGAGGGGTGTGGTAAAAAATGAAATAAATAAAAGCATTATTAAAAGAACAAGCAAAGTTTTATGTTTTTAAGAAAAAATCTAATACCATATAAATCCAAAATTATTAAAAGAAAAATGAAAATCAGGAAATATATTTGAAGATAGCTAGATTCCACTAAGGAGATGACTATGTGTTTTAAAGCAAAAAGCATCAAATCTATGAAAATCAGTAAACATCGAAGGTTTTTGGGCTCAGTAACTGTAAAATACAATCAATCCACTGTAGCACCTCAATGTTACAATATAATTGTTTTCCATAAACTGAGAGAAGAGGAAACCATTGGGAAGTACAGTTTAGATTGTCCACGAGCAAATTTAAAAGTGTGTGGCAGTCAATCATATAGGTTTTTACCAATGAGCTAGACTTAAAGAGTTTTTTTTTAAAATTACTCTTCCATTCATATTCTACCCAGAAACACCAAAATAAACAGGGGAGATACAACAAACCAGAATTTTCTAGACATTCATATAAGTTCCAGCCATGAAATAAGGCAGATTTACATCTCAGAAAACTAAAACATATTCAATGTAAACTTACTTTTGAAATAAATGTGAGTTTCTAGAGACACTATGTTCTGTACTTTAATTTTTGTAATGCACTTAGCACATAAAACCATGTGCACTCTTCTTGAAGTCTAGATAGATGTTAATATTGTCTCATCAAGGTCTAGCCAAAATCTATTGTCTTCCTTCTCACCCCTCACTGAACTCTCATCTACTGATAAGAGTTTATATATCCCCTGAATTTATCACAGTCTGCATACCACACTGTCTTTTCTAATAAACCTGAGCACTAATAATGAAGAAACTGTATCTTTGTCTTTAATGTGTTTACACAGGATTTGTACAGTATATTTCACAAAGTAGTTAAGTCTATAAATGACTGCTGAATTAAATTTGCTATTAAATGCCTCTTCTGCTTTTTTTTAAAAAAACTCTGAATATAGGAACATTAAAGTTATGTCTTAACAGTTTCTAAATGAAAGACATAACTACTATCCCTCTTTATCAAGGTCTCGTGTATAGTTAATGGGGAGATGGGACAGCAGAGTATGGTTGTGTTAGATTTATTGAAAAATCTTACTTTATATGTGTATATCTAACAATAAACAATAAGCACAAAGATTTATCTTCCTAGGAATTATTTCTGACATTACTAACATTAATGCTGAAATGAAGTATATATTTCCAAAACAATTACAAAATCCTTCATTTTCACACACCTGATTCACATAATTCGGGGCTTTTTAAAAAAGTTTAATATTAAATCTAGAAACAATAAGATGAATTTATAAACAAATTCACAGGGAAGAAAAAGTATAAAAAAGTTCTGGGGGAATGGTCAAGGCCACTAAATTAATATACATTTAACTTTTTTTTTTTTTAAATCCTTATTTTGAAAACATAATATTGTAATAATTTGGACAGAAATCTACTTAAAATACTTCTTTTTTCACGTTCCATCATGGTCTTTAGCAACAAAAAGTGACCACCTTTACATGTTTTACCGACTGCCTCCAGTATGTAGGAAGAATTTCCAGTTTTATATGATGTATCATAAGGAAGTTTAAGTTAGTAACAAGATGAACTTCAAAAAAAAAATTCATGTAAATTATTTTATCTTTAAAAAGGATCTCAATATGGACATTTATTTAAGAAGACGGTATGTTTTCAATGTATGCAATACATTTTGTATGTTCTAAATCTCTGGAAAACTGGAATGGGGAAAAATTACATTCTTAAAGAGCTCAAATTGCAGCTAGAATTTCAATGAGAACATCTAGAACTCAGATTGTTATGCAGAAAGTACTCACGCAACCTGTATATGAGGTAGGCAAAGGGGTACAGCTGCCTAGACTCACTCACATCTTACATTTGATGTCTTTTAACAGTCAACTGGGCTTCTAGCAAGCAACTAGAAGAACTTGTTTTTGTTTTTTTCAGATAAACAAGTTACAGAATCTCTATTCACTCAAATGTCTACTTTGATAAATTCAAATTTGGATAGAGAACGCTGCTGTGGCAGAGGGGTTAAACCAGGCAAATATAAGTGTTTTAGAACAAGATTATGCCAGCCCCTGAAATAGGAAAACAATGCTACTCTAGAGTTATTAGGTATAGGAAAACCTTTACATTCACAAATGATTATTTTCTATTTGACAGAAAAATTGCTGACATTCTGTCATATGGTTTCTTCTATTAACTTATTTTCCTAATCAAGTAACTATAATTCATTCTGAGTTTTGGGACAAACAATGAGTTTACTTTGAAAGTGAGAAGTAAAAACCAGCAATCACAGATAAGAAATGTCAACTTGAGAACAACTCAATTACATAACATCTGTATAGTAAGTCTCAGGTACCTTTAGAAACTTTTTTTTCCCCCTACTAAAGTATCTCACTGATAAAATAATGTTGATATATTTTATTTTCCTTCTCCTACAGATAATACACGGATTTAGTAAATCTGCTGCAAATAGCTTGCGTCTAATTTTTAAAATCACAAAAATTATTTTGGAAGCAAAGTATAAGTTACTAATTTGTATTCATATTTGACACTGTCTAAAGAATTGTTGGGTATGACCACTATGAAATTATATTGAAGGTCTTATAATTTTTAGAAGTTAGAAACTTTTATATAATTTTGAATCTGAATACTGTGTTATCAAGATTTCAACTATTTTTACCAAAAGCAAAAGATAACTAAAAAATTATGATTTACCTGTTATAATACCGGCCTCCCATCATAAACTGATTGTTTGGTGTTGGACATATTTTAAATCGCTGAATATTTTCATTGGTCCGGAAATAAAGTGAATAATCACCAGGAGTATTATCTGAGGGTCTCACAAGAAAACTGCAGACCTGACCAACTGTAAAAATTAAGCTGTTAGTTTTTCCCTAATTATCAAATAAAAAAGAAAAGATGTTAAGTAGTAGTATTACAAAGTGCATTCAAGGTCATAAACATATGTAAATTTTCACCAGGAACTTGTTTTATTTAAGGACAATTTCTTTCAAATTTTCTGGTTTATGATTCACAACCATCCATGTTGCTTGTCTGCTATCTCTCTGTTGTATCTTACCAGCTTTAATACATAAAAATAGAAAGCAGAAATTTTGCAGCCGTAACTTCTGGTCAGTAATATCTACAACTGTCATAATTTGGAAGGAACTTAAGCACAGTTAGGGAATACTGGCTAAAAATGCTAAATTCTGTTTGTAAATCCTTGTAATAAGAAGATTCTAAAAAGTGAAGACCAGTTTTGCTTAAGAATACTCTGTGCTTTATCAGTGTTTTCAATTAATCATTAAACAGTAATGACTGTGCCAGGCACAGTGATACATGCATATAATCCCAGCTATTCAGGAGGATCACTTGAGCCCAGGAGTTTAATACCAGCCTGGACAACACAGCAAGATCCTGCCTCTTAAAAAAAAAAAATTAAAAAGTAAAGACTGTAATAAAATAGAACCAAAAGCTTTCCACAAAGGTAGATTCAAAACAACTGAAACATGTGTATACATTATCAAAATCAATACACATACACTATATTTTATTCAATAGATATGCTACTGAAAGGAATTACAGACGCAAATTATATGTTAAATATGTCATATTAATTTTAGAGAAGTATTTCTGATATCTTTGATTGGCAGTGATTCATACTACTAAGATCCTCTGCCTTTTCTCCATTTAAGTCCAAATGATCCAGTAAAGATCAGGACTTGATTGTTTTTAGGAAAGCACAATGAATGCTTAGATTATAAGATATAAAGTTTGGGGGCAAATTACTAATAGTTCCAATCATCCAGTCAAGGCACATATTATCAAGTACTTCATGTTCAGTAAAAAGAAAAAAATAAATCTCCTTAAAAAACTGAATCTTCAAGGCTTAATACATAAGTAAACATAAAAATTACAGAAATTGTATAACGTGGGCTAAAATGAAAGTGTTTCTAAGTTGATACAACAAATCTTAGTGACAAGAATCCAAGATACTCTCTAAATTTCTTCTAGAATATGATAGGAATTTCATGCAAAATTATGCATGCAAGTCCTTATTTGTACTTCTCAGGAGAGAAAATCCCACCAGATCCTCAAAAGAGCACATGACACACAAAAAAATGCAAACTAATGTAAGGAAATTAAGTTTAGCTCCTTTTCAACTTTGTATGCCTTAAAACAAAAGTACCTCAAGTACTTGATGGTGCAAGTTCCAAAAAAGAAACATATCCAAAATTCAATAAATTCACTAAACTACATATTTTTGGTTCCATACTGAAATAGCTGATAGAATGTCATTTTGGTTTAAAATTTCTTCTCTATTACTATCATGTAGCATTATCATGATCTTTTTTTATTTTTTGAACCTACTTAACGTACATCTTCACAATAAAATTGAGTACTTCAAAAACTATCTCAAATCTTTCAAAATAATAAATTATTAATTTAAAATGCAGTGCTTTATGGATTAAAACAATTCAGATTACCTCTTTAATAACTAGTGTTATCACCACAAGAATCTATTTCATTCAATATTTCACAGAAACTATTGAACAGTCAACATTTTTGAAGAACTAAAACTTTTAAATTACATACTAAAGCTCAAACTTGTCTGAAATCTTTATAAGATGTGGTTTGCCGAAGAAATGCTTGGTATTTAAATTAATTCAGCTTTAGATATTTAGTAGGAATAAACAATGACAGGATGGTTAAAACCACAATAAAAGTCAATTTTTACTTTTTATTTATAAGCACAAGAGTTTTGGGAAATGTTAAAATTAATACATATTAAATAAAGCTCAATCATATAATTCCACCAAGTATACAAAGATAAATACAAGAATGTCTGCTATAGCTGAACAGCAAAAGAATAAAAACAATATAATATCCTTCTTCTGAAGACCAGTTAATTATGGTATTTACATAATGAAAAGTTTAAATCCATAAAGAGTAATGAAAATTTTTATCTGCAGATACAAAATCATCTCCCAATATATATCTAACATGAAAAAAGTGTGTTGAATGTTCCTGTCTGTGTAGGTGTAGGGGTGAGAAAGAGAGATTCACAGAGACACAGAAAACTTCTAGAAACATGGAAAAAAAAAAAACTACCACTTAGTGTTACTTCTGAGGAAGTGGACAGGGGCCTGGGGTAAAAGAAAAACACACTTTACTAAATTTTATAATACATGGATGTTTAAAATATAAATAAAAACACCAGGTTCTTAGCACTGGACACGAAATTGTAACATGCATAAACACTAACTGAATGCTAAAGGCAAAACACAGGATAAATGGTTTGTTCACTTTTTTATTCTCTTTAAACAGACATTAGAAAAGCAAGTGAATAAGTAAGTACCTGTCATTAGTAAATTATAAGCTTCCTGTTTGGAAATCTTCCCATGGAACCATCTTAAAAAGAGAATAAATGAGATATATGAAGTCCTTTTTGCTGTCATCATATGATCAAAATTAAACAACCAATATAGTAAGTTTAATTCAAAGTGATATAATAAAATAAATGCAATTAATCAAATCATCTCATTCTTATTACATTTTAATACATTTTATATACATATTATATTTAATTTCAACAAAATGTAGTAAAACTAGGAACTATCAAATATAAACTACAATTTTCATTACCAATACAAAAATGGCAATAATTTTTAATCCTGATAATAACAAACTGTTATAGGTCTTTTTATTTTTCTTTTTGCGGGGTAAGGGGAAGGAGGAGTAGTTCAGATAAAGCCTATTCCAGAATTTCCCTGAAAAAATTAATGAATTCATTTCTGAATTTTCCTATAACATCTGATAAATTCTCTCTTCAAATAAAATCAAGATGTTGACTCTTACTTTGCTGAAAGTCAGAATATAAGATTAGGTGACAAGAATGAGTGGATACCACCATCAAGAACTGAAAGAAGTACTTAGTGTTCCCAACTCTATTTGAGCTAACAACCTATCAAACTAGGTTGCTATGTATTTTATATTTTGTATTCTTAAATTAAGCCTTTAGAAATTATTATAAATGACATCACAGTCAAGATATAGAGCACATAATAACCTAAGTATTTAAAGGTTACCTTCAAATAAAATGATATATCTGATTAAAAAGTAATTACTAGTCATCAAAGTACATAAAATCACCTCTTATTTAACTAAAGGCCTATAATCTATCTTGCTGATTAACACATCTTAATGCCAGGCTGACAATTCCCAATCAACTATTTACTACTTTGTTGGATCTTCTTAGGGTCTACAAGTATTTTTAATAATAAAGAGCAAGCTGGAAATTAAACATAAGACTAAAATATGTAAATGCTCAAAAGTCCAGTGAGACAGGTTTAGAGGTTGTTCACATTGTTTTAAATGATCCATACAATTATTACTGGTGAAGTATGAAAATATAACTGAATTTTTACATTTTCACATGAATGAAAAGGTAAACTTTTCTTTAACACCATTCCAAGCATTAACTCACTAATTCAGATCTCCTGGTGCTCCCTGTGTAAACTTTGAATAATATAAAGCAAGAATACAACAACTAAAACAGTTCAGACTACAAGTAGTGAGGTTCTATATTGCATTCAAGTATAGGCTAAATGACCACTTACTACAAATGCTAGAGCAAGATTTTTATATTCTGGAGGAGAGTCAACTAGATGACCTGACCTCCAAGACTAATCCTCTACTTCCACAGTTTTAAAAAAAATTCAAAAAGAAAAGGGTAAAAAAATGACAGGGTTTACAGATGAACAAGATTATTTAGCATAAGCACACAGTCTGAAGCCAAAGTGGCAATATCACTTTCTAAAGTTTTAGTTTCATTCTTCAGACGTTTATTCCCATATAAAATTTATATATTTCAACCACATGTTTTCCAACAGTGATAAAAAGATGAGTCCCTGCTCTTATGAAGTTTCCACTCCTAGGCGGGTATAGTGGCTCATAATCCTGTAATCCCTGTACTTTCGGAGGCCAAGGCAGGAGAATCTCTTGATCCCAAGAGTCCAACACCAGCCTGGGCAACATAGACCCTATCTAACTACAGAAACTAAGAACTATGTAGAAAATATAATAAGCACAGTGACAGGCACTGCCAAAGGCATTCTGGGAATAACAGAGAAGGGTACCAATTCTGTTGAGTGTGTAGAGAAGAAAATAAAGGAAGATTTTCTAGAGGGAAGTGATAAATGAGCTAAGTATGAATGGAAGAATTCTGGCCTAGGAAGCAGCTTGAGCAAAGGTATACAGAAAAATAGCTAGGAGCGATGGCTCACACCTGTAATCCCAATACTTTGGAAGGCCAAGGTGGGAGGATCACTTGAGGTCAGGAGTTTGAGACCAGTCTGGGCAGTATAGTAAGACCTGATCTCTACAAAAAAACAAAAAATTACAACATTTGCCAGGTGTGGTGGTACACACCTGTAGTCTCAGCTAATCAGGAGGCTCAGGCAGAAGGATCACTTGAGCCCAGGAGTTTGAGGTGAACTATGATAGCACTACTGTACTCCGGCTTGGGCAATGGCAAGAACCTATCTCTAAAACAATAAATAAAAAAGTATTATGCATTTGAAGACCTACATGCTGGAGACTAGGAAACTAGAGATGATAAGTGCTAGGAGTAGTAAAGGACAAAATAACCAGAGAACAGATCATTTTTTAGGCTCTGCTAAGGTAAAAAGTGTAAGATTCAATTTTTTAATTTGTATTGTTTCTGTTTTTATGGGTAATGTATACAACTATTTTGTATATTTTTATGGGGTACCAGTGATGTTTTGATACAAGCACATAATGTTTAATGATCAAGTCAGGATAACTGGGGTATCCATCACCTCAAGTACATATAATCATTTCTTTGTATTAGGCATATTCAAATTCCACTCTTTTAGCTATTTTAAAATATTCAGTAAATTATTTGGTAGCACCCTGTTGTGCTACCAAATACTAAATCTTATTCATTCTATCTAGGTGTATTTTTGTACTCATTAATCAGCCATATTGTATCCCCCTTCCCTGCTACCCTTCCCACCCTGTGGTAACCATCATTCTACTATCTATCTCCCTGAGTTCAATTTTCTAATATTTTGCTCCCACATAAGTAAGAACACATGGTATTTGTCTTTCTGTGCCTGGTTTATTTCCCTTAAAATGGTATTTTCCAGTTCCATTCATGTTGTTGTGAATGACAGGATTTCGTTCTTGTTTATGACTGAATAGTATTCCATTGTATGCACGTACTGTATTTTCTTTATCCATTCATCCACTGTTGAACACTTAGGTTGATTAAACATCTCGGCTATTGTGAATGGTGCTGAAACACAGGAGTGCAGCTGTCTCTTTGATATACTGATTTCCTTTCTTTTGGATATATACCCAGCAGTGGGACTGCTGGATCACATGGTAGCTTTATTTTTAATTTTTTGAAGAACTTCTATGCTGTGCTCTATAGTAACTGCACTCATTTACATTCCCACCAACAGGGTACAAGGGTTTCCTTTTCTCCACATCCTCACCAGCATTCATTACAGCCTATCTTTTGGATAAAAGCCATTATAACTGGGGTGAAATGAAATCTCACTGTAGTTTTGATTTGCATTTATCTGATGATTAGTAAGGAATGGTGAGCATTTTTTCACATACCTGCTGGCAATTAAGGATTTTAAGTGAAAATATGATACAATCTAGGTACATTATTCCAGCTACTGGATAAAAGGATCTGATGAGGCTAAAGAGTCAAGGGAGATCAACTTGGAGGTTACTGCTATATCATATCCTGGCAGGAGATTTAAAAAGGCCTGAGCTAGAATGTAGTTATTTAAGATTTGAGAAGGCGGTAAACATTTAAGAAATACTTTAGGAGATAAAAATCATCAGGACTTGGTGTCTATATCATGTGACTAGGGAGCTGGAAAGAAACTCAACCAAAGTTATACCATCTATTTAATCTCAAAGGTTACTTGTGGATGTTACTGAGGACACTTTAAAGAATTTAAAGTACTGCCTCACAGCCACAGTCCCTATATTAGGAAATTAAAGGAAACAAACATACACATAAAATAAACCAACAATGCAAATTTACATTATGCTAATATAAATAAGAAATTACGCAAGTTAAGAAAAATGGAAGAATGACAATGTTATCAGATAAAAAAAGACTTCCGAGTGAAAGTGGGATTTGTATTTTATACTATGAGAAAACTGATGTAGCTTTACATGTTTATTGGCATTTAACCTACATTTTTAAATTTAAAATTCCATTGCTATTATCAAAAAAAAGAAAAACAAACCTGGATTTATGGTCTTTTTTGAAAATCGGAAGGATTTAACAACACTAGGCTCACATTCCTACACATATCAACTAGACAACTAAACAGAGGGATTACCTTACAATAGGCAAACACTTTCTAGTTTTCTACTTCCCACAGTTTTCCCTAATACCATGAGTAAATATCAGTTGCCATTTATTACCAAGCTTACAGTGGTTTTTTTTTTGATAGTACAGACATAGTTCCATGTACCTTGATCTCTAGCAAAGAGGGAAAATAAGAAAAGATTATTGTGCCTAAAGAAAACTGGGAATATATATACTTGACCCGCTTCACTTGCTTACATTGTCTGTCTGATTCTTCCAAGCATTAATTAGAATTTGCAACTCCTAGCCGGATACAGTGGCTCATTCCTGTAATTCCAGCACTTTGGGAGGCTGAGGCTGGTAGATTACTTGAGGTCAGGAGTTCAAGACAAGCCTGGCCAACATGGCAAAACCCCATCTCTACTAAAGGTACAATAATCAGCCTAGAGTGGTGGTGTGCACCCATGGTCCCAGCTACTCATGAGGCTGAGGCAGAGAATCGTTTGAATCCAGGAGGTAGGGGTTGCAGTGAGCAGAGATTGTGACATTGCACTCCAGCATGGGCGACAGAGGAAGACTCTGTCTCAAAAAAAAGAAAGAAAGAAAGAAAAAGTAACAAAAAATAATTTGAAACTCCTGATATAGGTAGAGGAAACTTCAAACTAATGCAAACAGCAGGGTATAGTCTCACTAATGGAGTCTATTTTGTAGCTACAAGAAACAATAAAAATAAACTCAGAATATATCTTACATATTCCACTTACAGAATGGTCAAGCACTAAATAAGGTGACTGCAAATGGAGTAATCAGTTGAATATTTTAATATTCTAATGGTTAGAAAACAGAAAAAAAGCAAACACTTGAGGCAAGCCTCAAGTTCCATCCATAAATGCTGAAAGATAAGAAAAAAATGTACTGAAAAGATATTAGAAGATGAATAGTCTATTAAAATGTGAGTAAGAGAGAACTGGGATTAATGGTTCAGATCTTTAAAAGAAAACTTACATATACATAAAATCAGTTTGAAGATTATGAAAAAAAAAGACCTTGCAGAATCTTATTAAAGTTGTGAAGAATCATTATTTTGGGGGGATAAAAGATGTGGCTATAAAACAAGAAGTACTATGAATAACCAATAAATACTATGAATAATTTTAAAATGTGCCGAATTGTGACATTCATAATGTTATAAATGTAATGTTTATTGAACGTCTTTAGTGTGGTGATAAAAAGAGTTGTATTTAGTTATCAGCTACCTTTTATTTTAAAAATAATACTTTATCATTAGATCTTTAAGAAAATATTTAGAAATCAGTTCCCTGAGCCAAATTAAAAAGTTAAGTCAGTCCAAAAACTTTAAAAAAATTTTTTTTGGCCAAAGTTTTCCAATTAGTAAATTTACAATATAGATATATATTTTTTTCATTTTTAATAATTAACACCAACTCACATTTTTCCTTCATGTGGATCTTCTTCCCGGCCCTAAAGGGAAGACATTAAGACAGTATTTTATGTAATTAACTGTTAATCTACTTTTATTAAAATTCATAGAAATCATATCTTCAAACATATCCCCCACTATCCTTACTTATGTGTATACAAAAAAAGATGTTTCTGTTCAATAACTATCTTTCCATACCTCTCTTAATCTTTTCTTGTTGCCATTACCCTAACTCAGGCCCTCTTACCCACTTTTCTTGAACTAGTCCAACAGCCCAACTAATATAATTATGTCCTACTACAACACTCTAATCTGGATACATCAGTTTCAACAGCAGCTTTGCCCTACATTAAGAAAAACCAAACAAAAAACAAACACCTCTCTACTGCCTACAAATTTCTCATTCTGCAACTGAAGTCCTTTACCACAGAACTCAAGTCCACATTTCCTGTCTCATACTACCAAATTGATTTTTGGTTCCTATACCATGGTCACACATAATTTCCTATTTGCCAATCTCCCACCACTGTAGCTTGTTCTTTTTGTTCTTAGAATGCACTTTCCACTTTTTGCTTTCTACCTGTTAGATAAATACCTAACCAATCTACGAAGGAACTATCTCAAATGCTACCTCTTCAGTAAAACATTCTGAGCCCATAAAAAGCAACATCAAGTTTTACTTTGAATATAAAAGACATTCCCCTTTTATCATGTTTTGAACTTTATTTTATTCTATATTCCTCTGATTTAAGATACAATAGTGTTACTCATTCCACTATTACGGAGAAAAATGGTCTAACTATACATGTGGATTTACTTCTCACAATTTGGTCCTCACTCATTAAATACCTAATCAAACTAAAATCAAACACTCACTGAATGCTACTATATCCAAGAGAGTAGGCTAAAACAAAAACAAACAAAAAAACAAAAAAACAAAACAAAACAAAACAAAAACAAAAAAAAACCTATAAAAATGAATAGCATTATCAGTGTATCACTGCCCAAAAGGAGTTAATCTCTTGTAGAAGAGGTTTACACTAAATTAATTTTAGACAGTGGAATAGAATGCAAAATTAACAGGGTGCTATGGAAATACAGAAGGAAACAATTTTGCCTAAGAGACTCCAGAAAGGCATAAATCCTCTGTGAAACAACGGGTGACATATGAACTGAGCTGATAAAGATGAATCAAATTTTATAAGGCAATCTATCAGGGCAGGAATGTCAAGGAAGAGGGGAAACTATAAGCACAGAAACATTCATTTACTCAACAAACATTTACCGAATGCCTACTGATGCCAGACACTATTCTAGGCAATGGTAATACATCAGTGAATCAGAGATAAAAAATCCCTCCCCTCAGAGAGCATACATTCTAGAGTTAATACATAAAAGTATAAATGTGTTTGGGGAACAGTAATTAGAATTTTAGAAGGAGAAATTCCTTAAATCTAACTACTAACTGAATGTCTGAAACATCTTCACAAACTAGATGTCCAAATGGTTTTTCAATCTATAAGGAATTCACTACACTCTAATAAAGCCCATCATGAAAGTTATTCTACACATTGGAGTGAAAATTGTTTATAACTGATGTGGAATTATTCCACTATTAATTTATAATGTTACTTACTATATTCATTTTTAGCAACCACATCACATTATTCACTCATACTGAGTTACTAACTTTTTCCTTGATCCCTTATGTATTGATGTGAGGTCATGTCTCCTTATTCTGGTTTGGATTGTTATTATTATTTTTCTGTATACATTGAGTAATTTTCACTTTTCTTTAATATTAAAGTTTATCTTGTTAAATTTGATCCAGAATTCCAAGAGCTCAAGAAAATTCAACTATTGTGCAATTCCTTTAAGTAATCAGAATTGGGAAGATGGTGGTACAGCAGGGAGAGGGAAACCCAAACTAAGAGTTGTAACAAACACATTTTACAGGAAAACTATCATAGATAGCAAGATGCTTCAGTATGAATACCGTTTGCCTATATGGAATAAATATCTCTTTTACTGTAGAATACAGAATACTAATCTAGGAATTAGGAGTCCTAATCCTAGCTCTTTTACTAAATAACTATATGACTATGAGCATGGAATGTATCACACCATTTCCTCAACTTTTTCCACCTCTACTCAGTATGTTTTACTTCTATGGTTGCCAGAATAGGCAGGTAAGAGAATTAATAGGAAAAAAAAAATATTCTCCACTGCAGTCTTCCAGGAGCAATAATCTTCAGCATATTATCAGGTCTGTGGCATAATTTAAAAACAGTAGCTTTGAGGACTGTAAAAGACAACAGAAAGCCACTCCATCTCACTAGAAAAATCCGAAAGGAAAAGGAGAATTCCAAAGTTACAATGTATATTTGATACTGAGTATTATCTCTGAAATATAAAAGCTGTTTGAATGCTGACCTGTTATTAAAAATGCACCTGGTAATTGATACCATATGATAACGTATTATATGATGGAACAAAAACAAGGATGAGATTCAAAATGTAGAACCATGTGATAATTATGTATAATATAAATGAAATCTTCCAAGTTTACTGGAAAATTTCATTTTCACATATATTGGAATTTTCACATATATTGGAAAGATAAAGAATCTAAAACCAAACATGTGTAACCAGTTGAGATTCCATGATCAGACTGATATAACTTCACTTATGAGGAAGAAAAAGGGGGCAAAAAAAAAAAAGAATAAAAATAAGCATAAATAGGCCGGGCACAGTGGCTCATGCCTGTCATCCCAGCACTTTCAGAGGCTAAGGCGGGTGGAACACTTGAGGTCAGGCATTCGAGATCAGCCTGGCCAACATGGTAAAACCCTGTCTCTATTTAAAAAAAAAAAAAAAAAAAATTAGCTGGGCATGGTGGCACATGTCTGTAATCCCAGCTAGCTGGGACGCTGAGGCACGAGAAATGCTTGAACCCGGGAGGTGGAGGTTGCAGTGAGCTGAGATTGTGCCACTGCACTCTAGCCTGGGCAACAGACCAAGACTCTGTCTCAAAAGAAAGCACAAATGTTAATATATTTTTAAGTCACAGAAACTCACACAAGCTTTCTGAATATTGGCAGTTATGTATTATAATATGCTAGCTTGATTATGTTCCACACTAACTATACTTATAATAGATTTTAATGAAAAATTCCTTGTACTTCTCAATTCAGTTCTTTTATAAAAGAAATGTATTCATAGCTACTTTCTCTGATTATAGACAAGATCCAAATTTATAAAATATTTAGAATCTAGAATTGAGAAGAAAAGAACAAAACTTACCACCTCTTCTACTAGGTCTTCAACAATAAGGCCTTGTTCATCTGTTCTTAAATTTGTAACCCACATCCATCCATCTTCTAATTCATTATGAACAATGAACATATCTCCTTTTAAGAAACTGAAAAGAGCAATTTTAAAGTTATTAAAATTAAAAATTTTAAATACAGAAATTAGAATAGTCATATACCACAAAATAGGATAAGGATAGTATTATATTGAAAAATGCCAGGAATTAAGAGTCAAACACTCTAAATTTGTATCTTATTTCTGGCATTATCTACATGTCAATTCCTGAAGATAATAAATAATCTGAATCTTAATTTCCTCATGAGTACAATGTGTCTGATAATAGTATCTGCACTATCTATATAACTGAATTATTGTTAGATTCAAATTACAACTTGTTAACAGAAACTGATTATACATATATTGAAGGTTTTGGGGTGTAACTACAAGAAAACTGAATTGAAAAACTTATGTTTCAATGTTATTACTCTTTCAGATGTAGGCTAGATATAAAATAAAAACACAAAACAAATATAATTAACACATTATACATACATAAGATATAGAGTTACTTAGAAACTGTTTATTTTAGATAAGCATGATGTAGATGCTTATGTCAGTTAACATTTTTCCTATAAAAAAACTAGGGCTTATTTAATTCACCCAGATACCCATCATCCAATGGGTACAGCATTCTTTCTCTGAAAGTGGTACCAAGGGATATATTATGAGAAAGGCATGTATGTTTTTTTCTGTTACCAATTTAAGAGTACAGAGTACAGAGATACAACTTAGTTTCCTTTTACTGAAACCTACATGTTTTCAACCTCCACACAATTATAGAAATAACAAGTTGCTGATGTATTTCATCAATATAAAACCATCAGTAATCCTTGAATTTGTCCTTTCAGGCTTAAAAGAATGCGTCTGAACACAAAGTTTCCAGATTTGTTGATGGTACCATTAACCCTGTATCTATAACTGTATTTGTCTTTTTTTCAAGCAATTTTCCTTTTGATTTTAATCTTCACAAACCAAAATCTAAATTTAAGTAAATTTAGTAATCTAAATTTAAGTAAATTTAAGGAAATCTCTTCTCCTATCCTTGAAAGATTTAACTACTTTCTCTGTGCTATCTCCAGCTTCATTGTCTCTTGGATAATGTTTCGGACAACAGAACTGATACATAACATTTAACTCAATATTTGAATAATCATAGAATATTGTGTTCTATCTTGATTCTACAATCCTTCTTAATGATGGCCAATATTTCACTAGCTGAATGGCAGCAGACATTACCACTTAACCAGTTAAATTATTCCTTTCTAGAACCACCTAAATAAGCACATTAAAGAAAATCATTATGAGTAAAAATAGGTGCACGTGAAATGGTAAATTTCATTTCTTAGTTAAAAGTAGTCATAAGAGATATTTCTAATTTCAAGTTTACTTGTTGCTGCTATAACAACTTTTCATCGTGCAAAAACCAAAAAAATGTTTTAAATAAGCTTGTTAGTAGTAACAAAACCTAATCATAACTCATTCTGTATTATTTTCTATTATTCCCCCCTAAAACAGGCTACAGTGCTTTATTAAATCATTAATTTTTTAGGTATTTTTATTTTAAAATTCACAGGTATGCATAAATTTTTTAAAAGACTCATAAATCCAAATGTGTATCATCAAAGTATTGTTTAAATTCTCATCTTCCTAGATCAGCTGTTTTTTTTTTTTTTCTTTTTTGGTTTCCCAGGACTTCTTTACTCTCTTAAAAAGTGACATCCTAAATGGCTTTTATTTACATGGATATCTACTGATATTTACCATATTCAAATTTAAAACAAATGTTTTAAAATATTCACTAATTCCTTTAAAAATAGCTCATTAAAAATAAGAAAAATATAACTTTTACAAATTTAGTGAGAATATCACTGTTTTATAATTTTGCAAATCTCTTAATTTCTGGCCTAACTGAAAACTGCTGGAGTCCCATATCTGTTTCTGTATTAAATTTGCTGCTATTGATTTTTTTGCTTAAAGCATATGAAGAAAATCTGGCTTCACCTAAGAATGTAGTTGTGAAAAGGCTAAGTATTTTAATAGCCCTTTCAGATGATTATAGATATTCTATTAAATCACACCAAAAATTCAATGAGCGGTACTTTCTTGAAAGTTAATTGTAATATGGAATCCAAAACTATTTATCAGTGAACTTTCTGTATGCATTCCAGTAACATCTATTGGTCTATCTTGCATTTCAAATTACCCATGCATAATTTTGTAACAACATGCATCGACCTTTTAGAAAATACTAGTTCACCAAGCTATCTATATCTTCTAGTTGTTAACACATTATACACTATCAAAATCTCTCATTCTTGGCCAGCCATGATGGCTCACGCCTGCAATCCCAACACTTTGGGAGGCCCAGGCAGGCAGATCACCCGAGGTTAGGAATTCAAGACCACCCTGGCCAACATGGTGAAACCCCATCTCTACTAAAAATATCAAAATTAGCCAGGTGTGGTGGCAGGCGCCCATAGTTCCAGCTACTCAGGAGGCTGAGGCAGCAGAATCGCTTGAACCCAGGTGGCAGAGGTTGCAGTGAGCCAAGATGGCACCACTGCACTCCAGCCTGGGTGACAAGAGCGAAACTGTCACAAAAACAAAAAACAAAACAAAACAAAACAAAAAAACCTCATTCTTTATTATCACTGCCTGTCTCATCAGAGAAGTCATTATTTCAGAAACTGTCAAACTTTTGATGGCCAACACAGAATGTCTAAAATTCAAAGTTTTACTCAAAACTCAAATTTTGTCATTGGCAACAAACACTAACAGTTTTTTTCCTTGAAATAATAGTCTTACTTTGTTCTTCTTCAAAAAATGTCAAACATTCTCTTAAGTGAAAATGGTGTGCACAAAAGTAACAGCTAAGCCACGTGCAGTGGCTCATGCCTATAATCCCAGCACTTTGGGACGCCGGGGCAGGCAGATCACTTGAGGTCAGGAGCTCAAGACTGGCCTGGTCAACATGACAAAACCCCATCTCTACTAAATAACAAAAATTAGCTGGACTTGGTGACACACGCCTGTAATTCCAGCCACTCAGAAGACTGAGGCATAGAATCCCTTGAACCCAGGAGTTGGAGACTGCAGTGAGGCGAGATGGTGCCACTGCACTCCAACCTGGGCAACAGAGCAAGACTCTGTCTCTAAAAGGAAAAAAAAAGGAACAAACTAGTTCAGCTCCCAACTCACTGCTTTTCCTCATGACACTGATCTCTGGCACACAGCAGAAGTGTTTTATACATACTTCCCATTTCATCATACAGATTAAAGTGTGTGGTCACAGGTCAAAATTTAATAAATATTTTTTAGTCCCTCATCAGTAACACTCTTAAATGAAACTGTCTTTGATTAACTCCAAGTGTGTAACAGTAAAGAATACTGTACACTTTTGTGCCACAGCCTTGATTTCTACTAAGGCACCAGCAGTTTTACCATACATTGCTTTTGTACTATCATTGTAAAATTTACGGTGAAAAAGGCAAATTATGTCTTAGTATGATTATGAAAATAATCTGATCTCATGGATTGTGATGGCTAATTTTATGTGTCAACTTGGCTAGACCGTAGGGTTCCCAGATTAAACATTATATTTCTGGGTTTCTCTGTGAGGGTGTTTCTGGATGAGATTAGCATTTGAATCAGAGGACAGTACCCTGCCATCCCCAATGTGCATGGGCATCATCCAATTCACTGAGGGTCTGAACAGAACAAAAACTGGAGGAGGAAGAAATTCATCCCTTTTTTCTGCCCCACTGGTTGAGCTGGGACATCTCATCTCAACTTTTCCTGCCCTCAGACTAGGATTTACACCATAGGTTCCCCTGGTTCTCAGGTCTTCAGATGTAGATTGAATTACACCACTGGCTTTCTTGGGTTTTCAGATTACAGACAGCCAACTGTGGGTCTTTACTGTCTCCATCTACCATTGTGTAAACCAATTCTCCATAAAAAATCTCCTCTAGAGAACACTGACTAATACCCAGTGTCATTCTAAATAAGTCTCAAAGATCCCCATAGTTACATGAAACACACTTTGAGAACTGCTGTCCTAAATAATCCCACAAAAAATTTAAAAATTACCTAAATTCATAAATTTGTAATTCATCACTGTTCTTCTTTAATATATGCATTTTCTCCTTTGTCGTTTATAGGCCTTTCCAGTTTAGATTACAAATAAAAATGTGTCAGTAAGAATTAAATGAGAATTAATGGTAAGAAACAAAGTTTCCACTAGAAATTTAAATACCTTATAGAAAGACATAATTTGATTATCAAATTATATAATTATAGAGAAATAAAACTACAAACTAACATGTTGCATAGTTCTATAACATTACTAAGGTTTAAAATTATTCACCCCTTACATAAAGTAGAAGCTTATCCTTTATAGCTGTGGCATAAATGTCACGTGGTAACAAAAATTTAAATAGGATATAGATTGAAACAGAACTCTCCTTACTTTGTGAGAGACAATGTAATAAAACCTAATTATTTCTCCTGTCATATTCACTGAGGCCACCCTGATTCAAAATCACAGTCTGAACAAATAAGTCAACCCAGAGGTCCAGGACCAACAGACCCAAATCAAAGGCTCTTTCACCTTGCTGTATGCCATTTCTTCAAATTTCAAAAGCTTCCTAGTCCAAGAGTAATAAATCTTCGAAGTCTAGCTCTTTCAAATGCCTATACATGAGAATAGATTATAAAATACCTTATTTCATCAGTGTCTGGTACTTTAGTGTAAGGTAGAATAGCTCGTACACGCCTTCTATCTTCTACTGGCTAGAAACCATAAAAAAAAAAAAGGATTTAAAAAGATGGTCTTTTTATCTTAAAGGCAAAAGAGGTATATGCACATAAAGCCAATAAAAATTCACATTAGAAATTCCATGGGATCATTCAAATACATTTTTACTTGGACTACAAATATGCAGTGCCTAGAAAGCCTTTTTTGTTGTTCTTGTTTTTATGAAAATTATATTTTAAATATAAGCAATATGCTTTTATAAGGTAATATGAATGATTTCATTTTAAATATACTACATGAAACATATAAGTTAACCTTTCATTGATGATACACAAGGCATTTCAGAATCTTGCAGCAAAGTCACGGTTAGTACTATGAAATCAGTAATTTCTTCTCATACATTCAGAAGTATTTGTTAGGCTATCACCAAACAGTACTTTTTTTTAATGTGGTTACTTAAACACAAAATTACTGAAAAATATTTTCTTTTTTTTTCAAAGAAGTTGTCCATTTTGTTCTGACATTATAACCCAAATTAAAATTTAATACAACAAATACTTCTTGAATTATAATAAACATAAGAAACTGAGCAATAGCTAAACCCACTATTGTACTGAAAAACAAAGTTTTGAAAAATATTTTATTCATTTTACTTGCCTCTGGTGGTGCAACTGGGTAAAGTAATTTTTCTCCTTTAAGCAAACAAGAGACATGACTGTAATAACCTATTAGGTCTGACAGTGAAGAAAAACGTCTTCCACCAATGTAGTAATCTCCACACATAGCAATAATCCTATTTGAACAGGAAAAAATACAGTATAAAAAAATCTTTACAGTCAATTTTAAAGACCGAGTTTCATAAAGAAATTATAAATCCATAATTTCCATACTCTTTTCCTTGTAACTATATCCTTATACTAAAATACTACTTATTAATATCTTCATCACAGCAAATTACTTGGGGCTATTTCTCTTACATATATGCATGCATTTGATATGAAATACGTATCAGGCTTATAAACCTCAATTACAGAATTCCATCAAATATTTGAAAATTCACCCTCAGATACCTCTTCTCACTTTCCATATTTAAGGCTGAATTCACAATGTTAGTAAGTTTTCTCTGGCTTAAAGGACCTCACAGATCTCTTGAAATATTTCAAGAGATATATTTATCTCTTGAAAGATATTTTGAAATCTTGAAAGATTATCTCTTGAAGAAATATTTCAAGAGATATATATATCCAACAAAGTACAGGAATAATTTCACATACTACATGTGGTATCATGGTACTACTGAACCTTATTTTAAAATCTAAAAACCAAGGGTACAAAAACATTTTATCATTTAACACTATATGCATTAGATTATTTTTTTCAATTTCTTCTATAAAAATGAAACAGAATACAATATGGGTAAATATGTTTATATATACAGAATATTTGTACTTGAAAATTTATATGCCTGTTTCACTGAAGTGCATGTCTGCAAAGAGTTTTAGAACAGTGAAGCTAAAATAGAGGACACAAAATTTGAGTTTTAAACAGGGTTTCCTATACTCTTTGTTATTCTACAGTCTAAAAGTATACAATTCCTTTATTTTAGACTTGTCGCTCAAAGTTTATTTGTAATTCTTTATACTTTAAAAGCTATAAATATATTTGAGGATCAGCACAGTAATGCCCAAATATACTGTTTTTAAACAAAAAATGTAAACATTCAAAAGAATCTCTCTAAATCACTGATTAAATCATTTGACTGAAAACAAGCTTCCTTCTCTATTATTTGTTACTGAGTCATTCACCTTTATTATACCGGTATATTTTTGAATATTATATCAAAATAGCTACACCATTTGGCTTCACAATAGGAATAAAGACTTACCTAAAATGGTTGACAACATTCATCTGGCTAAGAAATGAAAGTACAAAGGACCCTGGCCTTCGATCACTCTCTCTTATAAGGTAACTGCCAGACTTCCCTGCCTGCCTGAGGCGTTCTTCTGCTATTGTTCTGTCAAGTTTTCCGTGATACCACCTAGGGGAAAAACAGAGAAGATATTACAATATAATAGCAAGTGTAAAATTTCTAGTGATACTTGAAAAACATACTACTAGAGGTTTTAAATGCCTACATGTAACTTAAACATTTACATTTTACTCTGAACCAGTTATTCCAATTTTAACTCAATTCAACCTCAGTCTCTCAAAAAATACTCATTTACTTGGTCTTTAATTTGTTCTAAAAGCTCAGTTCTAGTCATCTCATATATAAATCTCTTCCATTTCTACCCATCTCCCTACTTCCAGGATTGCCTGCTATTCAAAATATAAACACTACTGCAACCAAATCCTTACTTAGAAAAATAAGATAAAGAAATGGAAATGATGAATTTACTACCTCGATCTTATACTGAGGAACCATGACTTCACAAGGCACATGGAACCTATGAGAATATAAAATGTTTTATTCCATTTTAGTGTTTGTGCCCTGAGACAGGAAAACAGAATTACACTGTCAAAGGATGCTATTTTAATTTCCTGTTTGAACATGAAGCTGATTAATCCCTTTGGCTCTAAGATAATCTACTCCATGACTATACATTTTACATTTGCACTCAACTTTCCAAATTTATTTAACAAACATTTGGGGGAATAAACAGCACCTTTGTCCCTTCACCCTTCTTGCTCTCAGTTTAACTGTATTCTACCTACATACTATCAAATGATCTACTTGAGAAACTGGCTATAACTCTAGCATCATCCATGATACCAAGTATGCCTATAAAAGCCTCATAGACTGATATAAACAGAAACATGCTTAGAAATATACTAGAAGTATCATACACGCATGGTAACAAATCTCCAAAGTAACTGTTATAAAATATTTTTACATTTTTCATAGTTTAGTCAAACTCATCCTTAGATACTTACAGCCTAATTTGAAACATTCAGAGAAAAACAACAAACATTCATATTACATTGATATATTAAATTATGTAACATATTATAGTACTTCAGCTTTACCACTCAGTTTATTTGTAATCTTACATTTGTAATAATGTAGTATGTATTTTATATAATATATAATAAGCCAATGATAAAAGCATTATGCTACTATGACTATTTTTGTAAGCTTGTTGTAATAAAAGCTCATTATTTTTGACACCTTAATTTTTAAAAATAAAACAAAAACACAGAAACTTAAAACTTACGGAAAGAATCACTTTTAGTTTTCTTCTAAAATCAACCTATTTTAAATAGAGCCCTATGCATAAGGCTGAAAATAATGAACTTATTTATAGAGTTCCATTACAACTTAACAAAAAATATAATTGTAAACTGTTAGTATTAGAGGAAGAAGGGAAAGAGCAATCAATACTGCATTCCTCTAAAATCCTAATCTTAGTTCAGTCATCATCTTTGAGGCAAATGACAAGTAATTTTAACTTTCAAGAGCTCAGGGATTTTTTTATTCTAAAATGGAAAGTTTACACCAGAGATCATAAAGGTCCCCTGAGGAACTATAATTTAACAACATAAGAGAATAAAATTTTGAAATTTCAGGCTGTAAGTTTAGCTGTGAAAATATAAGGGATATCCTTAGGTTATCCTTAGAATATGAAACTAGTGCTTTCCTCATTACTTAAAGCAGTAGAACTATCCCAGAGAGCAGATTTATATACCCAACAAAGATAAAATTAAGGACAATTTTAAGCAAATCTCTATTTTTGTGTACTTGTTATTTGTTAAATTTCTGTTCTGTCTTACGCAGTGTCAAGATGAAAAGGTTTTATTTAATCTCCTTAATCTTTTGAACTTACCATGAAATGATACACAGAGATACAGGAGGCATTACACAATTACTATTTTACAATAAATATCTGACTTACAATTTTAAGTGATATATACGTCTATTTGTGGTTTGTAGTTGTTTTTGCTTTGTTTTGTTTCAGATGGGGGTCTCACTTTGTCACCCAGGCTGGAATGCACTGGTACAATCTCAGCTCACTGCAACCCCCACCTCTCGGGCTCAACCCATCTTCTCACCACAGCCTCCCAAGTAGCTGAGACTGCAGACACACGCTACCATGCCCAGCTTTTTTTTTTTTTTTTTCGTAGAGACAGTGTTTTGCCTGTCACCCAGGTTGGTCTCAAATTCCTGGACTCAAGCGATCTGCTCACCTCAGCCTTCCAAAGTCTGGGATTACAGGTGTGAGCCACCACACTGAGCTGATTTTTTACATCTATGTACTTTCAGTAAGATCTGAGTATTCAAGTGGATAAGTCAGTTCAGGAGAAAGACATTAATCTAAATAAGTAACTATTTCCTACATGTTAGCAATTTCCTTTCATGTTAAAAGGTCATAAGCTTCAAACACGTAAAGCAAAACATGTCAATTCTTGATTATGACTATAAACTGCAATTAAATTATCCAGCCATCAGCTTGTAAACATTTATGTAGTTGATTTGATCCTTAAATGTTTTATGAATACATCACAATAAATCCAAAGTTATAAGATTTGATTCAGACACCTTACAGATTTATAGAACCTAGGTAAAATACTATATAACCTTTAAACACCAGTCCTTGGGTTTACTCAAAAACAGTGTTTCTCAACCTTTTTTTAACCCACAATCTTTTTCATAAATATAAAAATTTTACCCTACTGAGAGATTCAGAGTCCCTAAGGTGGCTGCCCTGCACAGAGAATCATACATTCTAATTAGCCCCAGTAGCCAAGAAAATGTTGTCTACCTTAACTTTCTGAAGTCTGTAATTCTTTTTATTCTAGGTATAAAATATATGGGATATGCCTTTACAAAATATACTCTCAATAACAAAGATATAACTTTCCCAAGAGTGAACACTTTGGGAGTGGTTGTCTAAAATACTCAATTTTTTAAAATGCTACACTTTCTGCCTCTACAAATAGTCACAGCAATAGAATTACAAAGAAATAAAAGAAAATATTTAATCAACCCCACTATTACTCTTAAGTCTTCACAGTCAAAGCCTTATTATATCTCTCTAAGAGCAGATTTGCTGGTGACTGTTTTCATGTAAATTAAAAAAATAATTCAACTGGAATCTAGAATACCTCAAAGAAACATAAGCACAAAAGTTATACTGGTGGTATGAGAATACTCTAACATGAGATTACCAAATAATAGCTCATCACCTAAGTTAAAGTTTATAAATCTGCTCACATTTGTGGCAATTATAGCACAGAGTATACCTGGCACATAGCAATAATAAGTTTTAAAAGTATTTGTCCATGAAGGAAGAAGTGTTGACTCATAAAACAACATTGAAAAATACTTTATAAGTCATCTAGTTGAACCACCTTGCCAATGTAAAAAACAAAACAAAACAAAAACCTCTTTTTTAACGTCAACATAGGAAGTTCTCCTTTTTTTATTTTGGAAACAGAGTCTCGCTCTGTTACCCAGGTTGGGGCGCAGTGCCATGCTCTCATGGCTCACTGCAACCTCTGCCTCCTGGGTTCAAGTGATTCTCCTGTCTCTGCCTCCCAAGTAGCTGGGATTACAGATGCGTGCCACCACATCTGGCTAATTTTTGTATTTTTAGTAGAGACTTGTAAATTAGGGAAATTAATTTCTATCTCAACCTCAGAATAAAATTAATGACTTGTCCTAAATTGCTTTAAAAAAAAATACAAAAATGAAAACTACTACGTAGGCTTTATAGTAGAACAGTTAAGACTCTAGAGCCACTGTCTTTGAATCCCAGCTCTGCCACTGAGCTGCGCAAATGTAGGCAGATATCTCCGAGCCTCAGTTTCCTCATCTATAAAAGGAATAGTGTCTACCTCACAGAACATTGGCTTATTATTATTAAATGAGCTAACACATATAAAGTTGCTTAGAAGAATACCTAATGGATACCAAGAACCTAGTAAATATTAGCTTAATTATTATCAAACCAGTATCACAGGGGAATAGAGGATACTCAAAGGCTATGGGACTGACTAATAAACTTCTTCAAAAAAACTAACACATTTTATGACTGTTGCATAATAGGTGATCAATCTGTGAATCATCTTAGTCTCAATTACCTATTTTCCAGTCTTGTTTACTTTCCATGTAATTTGGGGAAGAGGACAGAAGAAATCAATCTTTTTTTTTTACTAAGGCATTAACTTTAGGAGGAAATTTTCTCAAAACTCTTTTTGAACATTATAAAGCATTCAAATTAATTGGGGCTGCAGGTGCCACACTATTAATAAACTAGAAATTCTATTTCACCTGGCAACTCTAGAAGGAAACCCTCAAAGAACCCCCATTCTTTTCCCAATGTGTGTATATTTTGGGGGTTGGGGGGCAGTACAAAGGATAGTAGGTACTTGAGATACTATGACTTAAAACTGCTTAATGCAACACGTTAATAATAAAGCATTTATGTCCTCCTATTTTAAAAGTAAATTTCCCTCTCTCTTCTTCCTTGCCTAAGGAAACTGGGGAAAAGGAACAGCAGGAGGAAATTCAAGAAGTACATACATGTCTTCCCAGCTAGCTTTGTAAATTTTTGTTGAGAAATTTTACAGGTAGATATGGAGTTTCTTAATTTCATTTTTTTAGAAATACAAATCAATTTATATACAATATCATACATCTAAGATAAAACTGCATGTGAAATAAGTGAACAATTTTTAAAAAGGCACAGAAATCACTCTATTTTAAATTTGGAATCACATGAACATTTTTTATAAATGTGTGCTGTGGCCAGGCACAGCGGCTCACGCCTTTATAGACCAGCACTTTGGGAGGCTGAGGAGGGGACTGCTTGAACCCAGGAGTTCATGACCAACCTGGGCAATATGGCAAAACCCCACCTCTACAAAAAATACAAAAATTAGCCAGGCATGGTGGCACAAGCCTATGATCCCAGCTACTCGAGAGGCTGAGATGGGAGGATAGCTTGAGCCTGAGAAGTCAAGGCTGCAGTGAGATAAGATCGTGCCACTGCACTCCAGACTGGGCGACAGAGAGAGACCCTGACTCGGGGGAAATAA